TCATATTACAATAATGACAGTGAATATGATTGTCCTATAAGGGGTTAATACGATATATTAAAACTGAAGTACACATTGGGGTGTATAATGAGGAACAAAATCCTTACTGATGCTGTACATGTTATGTAGATGGATTCTAAAGTCGTTGGAACAAATGCCTTCAAAGAAAGCTGACTATTCTGTGGTTATAAAAATGCAGTCTAAGACTTTCCTATTCTTTGGCAATATCCAGTAATCATAATCAGTACTTCCCAGCATGTATGCCAAGTGTGAATAGAATGGAATCATATATGCATTACTAATAAAATAAATAGAACTGATAAAAAAAAAAAAAATGGTCTGACTGTGATCAAAGGCTCTGAAAGGCAATTTTAAGCCCAAATTATTTAATTTAAATAATCACAAAAAACACTTTAAGACAAAGTGCAGCTGTAACATGGCCACAGTTAATACATATAAATCTATTTCATCTGTCAATATCACAGTCTCTTACTTTATCTGTATAATGAAACACATCCAAACATAGTTTCTAACTGGAGCGCTATATTCAATTCAAAATCTTGTTTAGTTTTCTGATAAGAAAATGATTTGTGAATTGTATGTTAATACTGGTCATGGAATATGTTATATAGTAGTGTAAGAGGGACAAAAACAGGACCAATCATGGGCAGATCCGGATATGAATGTATCAGGCTTCACCTATATTGATGGGACTGTAACCCGCATTATAAATCTAACTATATGTGAAATGATTGCTCAGTCACTTTGGTCAAGGTCACGAAGGCCAGAAGATTTCAAGGGAGCTCAGAGTCTAAGTGTACACTCGCCTATATTGCTATGGTCCCTGACTCTAAGCCTAATAAATACACAAAACACACAAACAGTATAGAAGATACATAAATAATGCAATTTCTTTGTTCTAGAGATATTCATAAATCATTTCGCTTTCAGTCTCATTGAATAATGTGATGTCTCCAAAACCCTTCAATTGAATTATTAATATAACTGTGAACCATAAATGAATTTAAGTAAACTGAATACTCTGCAATTCATTATACCTGTTCTCCAGCAACTGATCATTGCAATACTGTATGTATCACTGCAAAACTAAATTGTTTTTCTTGAATCCTGCCATGTCCTTTGCCTTTCTTACCTGGTACATACTACTGCTCCCACAGATACTAAATGGTGAATTAAGAACAGTAGCAACAAATAACAGCGCTTGCCTGTGAGTGTAACTCTAACCCTGGCCATAACCCAGGTGTAAGATAGGGTACTGACAACTGATGTCCATTTTTGGTGCATTCTGTTGATATGATTAAACATTAGTGGGGTGATAGATGAATACAGGTGTGTGAGGGATAGTGACGTGAAATGTGACAGGTGGGTGACTGTACTGACTTTGTGAATAGCTGTATGTGTATTAGTGAGTTGCTAGGTAGTTCACTGTATCTGGGAATAGTGACCTGGAATCTGAAATAGTATGTGACTGAGTGGTTTAGGTGCATTGTTGGCAGAGAAGGGGGAGTGCTTTAATACTTTAGGAAGGATCCATCAAGGCCCTGCTTGTGCTGTCTGCCCATGGTCATGGTCCATGGACCATGGTCTGCACGACTGCACCGGCAAGCAACTAGTGGAGCAGACCCAGCCAGCCAAACAGCAAGTAGGAGAGAATCTGCTCTTGTAGATTTTTGTGAACTATAATAAAAGTTAATTGCAATTCACAAACAACTGCATACAACAGACATTGCAAGAGTTTGTGAACATACGTTTCTGGTGACAATCAGTCAGTGCTTAAAACTTAGGGCTGGCTGAGTGCCATGGGGATTCTAATTCACAAACATCTGCAGTGTAGAATGTTGGCAGATGATTTTGAAATATATTTTTCCCATGATTCTCAGGTAGGTCTTAAAGCTTCTTGAGCATCATGGGAATTGCAGTTCACAGTCATTTACATTGTTGAGACTTTGCAGATGTTTTTGAACTACATTGCTCATAATCAGCCTTATGGCTAGTTGGTGCATCATGGGAAACATTGCTCACTAACCTTTGCAAAGCCTGGTGCTATCACAGTAAATCCTGCATTACAGATATTTGTAAACCTATAATTCTCACTAATGCTTGGTCAGCCTTAAAACTGTCAGAGCATCATGGGAAGAGTGAGTAGTTCATAAACACCTATAGTACCCAATGTGCATATATAAAGTGACATAAATATGCTGTGCAGTGGACTAATAAATAAGTAATTGCAAAAAGAAAAGTTAGACTCACAGAAAAGGAAGGTGGGATATGTATGTTGCCCTCCCTTCCCTGTATTTTAAACATTTGTGTGTCACTCTGCAACCACCTCATCCCTTTGTGTGTATCTCGTAATCCCCTCTTAACCACCTTTCCTTCATGCGTGTTGTTAACTATTGTGTATTTCTTAACCACCCCTTGCCTCTTGTATCCCTAAAACGTGTTAAAGTTTTTTGTTAATCCTCATACAAACACAGTCATATGCATACATAGACATGCGATAATACATGCTGTCACTACATAGTCACATAAACAGACACACAAATGCATATTCACACACTGCTACAAGTCTATAACATACATAATTACACATTACTCACACATTTCAATAAACGCACACAGTCAGATGTATACAGTCATATGCATACACTCTATCCGATGCAGTAAACCCACACAGTTACATGCAATCACACACAGTCACATAACACAGTCACACACACACAGTAACAAGCACTGTCATTAAATGTCACTTTCCTGCTGCTTACGGTTATGGGCACAGGTGGGAGGAGAGGAGGCTGGAGTGTAGTGGTGGGGAAGTAGAGACGCCTCCATGCTTCATTTTCAGCCTGCTGGGAGGCTGAGAATATGCAGCCTCCCAGCAAGATCTGGGCAGAGGATAAATCTTGTACCAGGGTCCTACGCGGCCATGCTACAAAGAGTAACTATCAGGATCCTCTGTTTAAGCGTTGCACCTGACCGTCCCTTGCGTACACTAATATGCTGAGGGCAGAGCCGTCTTGACGCATGGGCATGCTGGGCAGTTGCTCGGGGTCCCACGAGTATAGGGGCCTCATAGGCTTGCCAACTTTTAAGTGCATTATTCAGGGAGATTTATTCAGAACCTTCAATCCCTCTTTATTAAAACATTTAGTTATCAGAAGTTATCTGTACATGCAATCTTGCTGTTGCAAATGCATATCTTGACCTTGACAAAAACACTGTACACAAACTAATTGTACAAAGGCAAGACAAAATCAAGACACGTAGTTTTTTGAAGCCATAAAGCTATAACAGATTTCTTCTAAAAGTTTTAACAGTCCATGTCAATTGCACATTGTATATTGTCCAAACATTTGTGTGAATTAATCTCTTCTGTACATCATGTTTTATAATGTTTAAACACTGATTTTGTTGGAGATACCAATAAATATAAGCGTAATTGTATCGGTAATTAACATTTTTATTTCTGAGGGGTTGTGTAGGCAGGGCCGCAATGCACTGCTTCGCCCAGGGGCCTATAATGCTATTAAGTGTTCCTGATTAACCCAGCTTTTATTCTAAGTAAAGTGGGGTACAATGACACAAGAGGTAAGGCTGTGAACTATATTTCCCATTACATTCAGTCATGGAGGAGAATATAATGGTTTTTCGAAAGTACATAATATACTAGATATAAATAGATGTTTATTGTGCATTTTATGAGGAAATATACTGTTTCCAATTTTATTCTGTTAATTAAACTTTTTTCAGAATTGTGATTACCATATAATGAGGTGTATTTTTCTGCAGTATGCCTGATTCTGCACTGTTTAAGAATCATTGTTATCTGTGGAATGTGTATGTTTATAGCCACATTTAGGAGACATCCCAGCTGCTTCAGAGCCCTTGGTCAGGGAGTATGTGTCTTATCTGCCTGTATGGAAGAAAACATATGCCATGAAAAGCTGTGGAAATTGTGGTGTGTATAATATTCGTATTTTTTTTAATGGGATGGAAATATTACAAAAGTGTTAACGAATATAGAAACACGGAATAACAATCAACTAGCAAAAAACCCCACAAAACTACTAATTATTTGACTAATTGGCAGATTTATTACATACACACACACACACACTTTGCAAAAACTCTTCTCCAAGGCAATATATACCAGAACTAATACACCAGTTCCACACAACTCAGGATTCCATTTCGAACACTGGCTCACCTCTATGTGCTACACATTGGAGCAGTGATGGGTACCCTTGGTAACTGTAAGCCAGGTGGTTCTGAACTACATTATCAATAAAGCCACCTCAACCAAGGATCATAATTAATTTATTTCAGAAGCATCTTGGATGCAAAAGTTACCTATAATACTCACCCAACCCAACTATTAAAGGAAATGTAGTTCTGAAACGTGTTGTAAAATGGATTCCCTGAATGCTCAACCATGATGGCTGAGCATTGTGGGAAGTGTAGTTCATATATACATATGGGTTACCTAGCTAGCTATCACTATTATAGGGAATCAGCTTTCCTCATTGTTTCATTATGCAGCACACTCGAACAGAGATTGGGCTGACACATTCAAATACGGCAGAATTAACTCCTTAACTTGCAGTTAAAGGAGTCTCAAAAGTTTATAGGTCTGAGTCATATTTGCAGGCAGCACAACACACTCAGGCTGTCACCAATATTTTCATTATTTCCTTTTCCTTGGCATGTAAGCTGTAAATTTGCTCAGTTTTCAGGCTGCCTTACTAGATGGAGAACAGACGGTCCCCTTTTGCCTGTATTTACACTAATCTTCAGAAGAAGGGGGAGTTTGCTGAGGCTTTGCCCGGGGGTACTTTGGGACTGGAATTTAGAGGAACCTCAGAATTGCTCCCACCCCCATTACACAGGTTATAAAGTGCTAGACAGGCTCAGAGATGGACAGGCAGAAGGGGCAGACCGCCTGTTTGAATGACTGCACTGAGGGACAATGCCAAAAATCCACACATGCAGATGCTCTGAGTTCATTTGTTTCTAGAGGCTGCATCTGCAAAGCGGTGTGTAGCTGTTGGGGCTAAGGCTGTCTGGTCCTGAGTTTTCACTCTTCTAACCCAGGAAATGGCATAGTGTAACTGCAATAGGAAACTGGCGAGCAGAGCAGTAAGCCTGGCTAAGTGACTCACCAAAACTTGTTAAACTGTGGGAAGGGGGTGGGGAGTTCAACCAGATGGACGATGCAATGACCACAAATCTGCACATGGCTTCATGTGCGTGCTGGACTGACCCCTGATGTGGCTGTGCGCGGGTGAGAAGGGCTGATGGGCTTTCTGTAGCTCGTTAAGAAGATGCTGCATTTGGTAGTCCTTACTGCATTCTCCGCGTTGAACATTCTAAGCCATGGGACCATGTCCTGGGACACTGCACACCCCACTTTTGAAGAGCAGCAAACGCTAGAGCAAGGCTTGGATAAGCAGGTCCTGCAGGGGGAAAATGGTCGCCAGCCTCATATCATTTTCATACTGGCTGATGACCAGGGTTACAGAGACATCGGGTACCATGGATCAGAAATTAAAACTCCTACATTGGATAAGTTGGCGTCGGAAGGAGTCAAACTGGAAAACTACTATGTACAACCAATATGTTCTCCATCCAGGAGCCAGTTTATTACTGGGAAGTAAGTATGATCTATATATTTAAATATGTACCTATTTCACAATTGCGCCCTGAAACTGAACAAACTGTGGCTTATGTATGCTAAGAGTAATTTGCAGCAATGTTCTAAGTGAAGCTATCACCATGGAAACCAATGGAATGTTCATGCTTATTGCTCCACTTTTAGAACTTTGCTCCAAAATAAGTCTTTATACATATATATCCCAATGGACTCAGGTAAAAAGCTGTACATATTTGCCTATACTATAATATAATCCTATTTATTCCATGGCATTAATGTACTATTTTACCCATGTTCACATGGTTTTCCTGCGTTATTTGTGGCTTTTACTATGATTTTATTTTCCAGCCTGCGGTTGTCATAATTAGTCTTAACTATCAATCTACAGTACAGAAAAATACTGAACATTTACAATTGTTTTAAAAACAACGTTGTTTGCAGATCTTTCTTTTCCCAGCATTTGAATTCCCTGTTAAAAAAAAAAAAAAAAAATCTGGAAAGCTAAGCAGAACATCATGATTCACCACTGGATCCCTGCACTTCTAAAAGGGAAATAATCAGTGGCTATATTATACATGATGATCTCATTAGCTTTAGGTAACCGAGTGTGCAGTAAATTGCACTCAATGTCTAACAATCTGCAGAAATGTCTAGAGTACTTATAACTGAACTTTATATTAACTTCATTTTAACAGATTTCAGAGACATCATTCCATATACTGAAGGCAATAATAATTGGAAGGATCTAAAAATATAATTTCTCTCTCTGCCAGAAAAATCCAAAAACAGAAAAAACTTTCAAATAGTTAAAAAGCAACTGGGAGCAGGGGGCATTTTTGGAAAGGAATAAGTTGGGGAATGTGAATATAACTTATACAGTACTAGAATGACTTTATACATCAGATTAATTTGCATACATTTATTATAGTGTGTTTAACAAAATATATTTAAAATATATTCAACAAGACATACCTCTATTATAAATTTGGTGAAGAAATTGTTCTTAAACTCTATTCTGTTATGATACAATAAATATCTTTCCATCAAGATGTCTCATTATTTATGATGGAAATATTTTTTTTGAAGGGTTTATTGAGTAAGCAGTGATTTATGCTTTCGCAACAAATGCATACACTTTTGTTTAAAATACTTAAGTTGATGCTTTTCCCAAATCACCTATTTTAGTATAATCACTTGTCAACTAACCATATGTAACTGTTTATTGAATAAACTCCATCATTTTGTCTAAGTTCCCAGATAAAAATTGCAGGGCACCTGTGAGTACACTTTAAATAGTATTTTCACTTAAATAAACATTCCTTTATCATTTAAAGAAACATTATTTTTACTTTAAGAAACAATACTTTATAGCTGCATAGCAAGACAGCCTTTATAGAATGAGAAAGTTACAGAAATTTGATACTGTACCCCTTAGTTTTTTTTTTTTCTTCTTTTATACCTTCTGAAACAGGTCTATAGTTTATTAGAGAAAAATATTATCCATGTCATTCATTTTTTGTAGGTTCATAGTGATGATTTTTTCTACAATAGTTATATGATTACTTATTGTCTAAATATTATATATTTCGTTTTCGCTGTAGACTGATTTTTAAAAAGCCGCGCTTGTCAACTAATATTTGGAGGAAAATCTGTTGACACAATTACTCACTTTACTCATTTGAAGTCAGCCACTTCAAGCTTGCAATATACTATTCACTAATAACATGAGACAACTTGAAAATTAAACATCTGAAAACAGATTAGTTGCCTTTGAGAGCCCTCTTTATGCCAAACTCATACAGCCATACAGATCCAATGTTAACATGTGTTAATGTGGAGAATCAGCACAAAAAGAGCTGATGGCAAAAAAAGTTCTGCTTCTAGGGGTTCTGCTAACAGAAAATGTTGACCACATCATGTGAGACTGCATTAAACTCTATATATCATAGCAACGTATGCTCATTGTATTATTTACATTGCATGAATTTCCCCTGTCATTTTTTCCCCCTCAGCAGCGAATAGCAAAAATTACTGTGGATTTAAAAATTGCCCCTTCCCACTTTGAGATAAATTCATGCTGCAGTGGTATGTTTGTTATCAGCATATTTAGCAGTTCTACTCATGATGAGTGGAACTTTGACTGGCAACTGAAATGTATATCCATTAAAGGGACACTCCAGGCACCCAAACCACTTCTGCCCATTGGAGTGGTCTGGGTGCCAACTCCCATCACCCTTAACCCTATAAGCTTAATTATTGTAGTTTTTATAAACTGCAATAATTACCTTGCAGGGTTAAGTCCTTGAATAATGCTTTCCCATGGGGAGGTCTAATGCGTGCGTGTGTGGCCAAATGCGCACTAGGTCTCCCCCGCCGGCTGACGTCGGTGGGGGAGGAGCCTGACCCAGCACCGAGGGGCATCGGCGCTGCATTCAGGTAAGTCACTGAAGGGGTTCTAACCCCTTCAGCAACATGGTATGAGGGTGGGAGGGAGGGGGGCACTGCAGGATCCTGCAGTGCCAGGAAAATCGGTTTGTTTTCCTGGCACTGGAGAGTCCCTTTAAATGCTTGCTTGGCAGGCGTTTATGGAGAAGATATATGCAACCAAAAAAATGGGGCACAAATTGCACTCACAAGATGTTTAGATATCTCAGCGTATCAACAGTTCCTCCCCTGAAGTATGGGGGGCTAGCATCCACTGCCCCTACAAATTCATTTCACCAATGATGGTCATGGACTCCAGTAGTGTATGGTAAAAAGTATATTTAATTAAATATAAATATACAATAGAATGGTTCTACACATATCCCCCTGAATCCTACTTCCTCAGAACCTTAATAAAATCACATTTAACCAGCACTAATTAGAAAAGCACCATAATCCCACAGCTCCCCGAGTCCCTCTTAAATTTCATCATATCTTCTCTTTTTAGTGTAACTGGAGGTGTGTGCTTCTTAGCACACACCTTATTAGCTGTGCTTAATCTGCGTCTTAGTTCTTCCAGTCGCCGGTCATCAAGATCGCCATGCGAAACAAATATACACATATGTATATAGCTATTGTGTTATAATAACTATTAGCACAATATGTAAAATATTGTAAATGTATATAAAAAAATGTGTATATATAAAAAAAAAATATTCAGTGCCTTTGCTATCTTTTTGTATCCTGTTCCTTGTTTGTTAAGATATTCTCTTAACTTTGTGAACTTTTGACTTAGTCATATTTCTAACATTCAGTCAAATGTGACATTCAGCAATCCCTTAGCCAGTTCAGGTATTTCAAGTGTTTCAGCTCAAGCACACCTGGTGCAACTAATGAAGCCCTTGATTAGTTGCATCAGGTGTGCTTGAGACAACACCTGTTTTGCATAATTGTGCTGTTGTGATGAATTCTATTCAGGAGAAATTTTGAGGCTAGAGAAGTAATTATAAGTTGCATTTTCAGTTGAATTTGGGGAAACAAGTTAAGGAATTTGTTGTGTACAGCTATTTGAATTAATTTTGTTTGATATGTTCCTTGCAAACAGCTGAAAGTCTGTAACTTCTGACAATAAACCCGATATTTAATGGGGGTTTAATAATTTTGATTACAACTGTACGTACAGTGCTATGTGTTTAACTGGGAGTATGTAGCTGTGTATGTAATGTATATCTAGTTGAAAAGATCTACTCAATGTGTAAATAAATAAATGTAATAGGTGGGTATAGGCTACATGGGGATGAAAGAGTGTCTGTGTTTAGAAGGGGCAAGAGAAAAAAAAATAGTATATGTGTTTCCACATCAATGATCAACATATTCAATCATAATTTAATGTTAGTATATCATATATGGGACCCATAAACTTAAAAATCCCTCTGCTCTAATCAATTGAACAAGCCAAATCTAGATCCACATTTAATACTCTCGGTTCAAGTGTGCCATATTTGTATATTCCATTGGTTTATTTTTGGGCTTTATTTTTTTAATCTGTCTCCTCCTCTCCAGTGTGGTTTGACATGGTCCTACCTAATACCTAATACATATAAATCTTGCCAATTAAAGGCAGGACAGCTGTTACAATGGATTGGAACCAGCTGTTTTTGAAATTTATTTCTGATATTATTACAATGTTCCAAAATTCTCTTGTTACATTTTTAAGAACAGACCCCATAAACAAGAATGAGAGTCTCCTGATTGGTTGAGACTCTTCCTTGTCTTGGAGGGGACGGTCCATTGCAGCAGCTTGCCACTACAAGAGCAGCTAATTAACTTATCTGTATATTGCATTACAAAAAGTGGCATAATTGTCAGTCTAAATATAATAACGTATCATTTTGCTTTTGGGGTATGGATTAAGTAATTTATCACAGTCCACCCAGACCTCTATTAACCAAGGGAAAGTGTGTTTGCCTGTGAGTGTATGTGTGTGTGTCTGTTAGTGTGTGTCAGTTAGCTAGTGTATGCGTATCTGTCAGTGAATGTGTGTGTGTGTATTTAGAAGGCGGGGCGGGGGGAAGGGTTGGGTGGGAGTGGCCTGGTGAGGTGGCGCCTGAGTTTTGTCCTGCCTAGGGCAGCACAAAACCAGGATACACCACTGATTGTACTATTAACTTATTTTCTGCGCCCTGTGCTAGGGCATCCCTGAGGGCCATTGGCCAACACAGTTGCTGTTGAATATGGCATGCTTGCACAACCCCTTCGAGGCCATACAAAATCAACATTGACACACATATTTGGTATGTCCCTTACTGTGTCGTTGCCGCCGTGTCCAACTCCAAGGTATGTATTATAAATAACAAAGTGCAAATTGTTTGAAACTCTGACTATTTGGGAATGGAGCCCCATATAATTGCAATACACAAAGTACATATAGTTCTTAAATAAAAAACAGCTGTGCAATGTCCCACTTTTCCAAAAAAAGGTTCTCAACATGTCATTAAATGTTGCATGATTTGTCACTAAACTCAGGTTATTCAGCCTATAGAAGAACACTTCAGCAACCATATGTGAAAATGTCCCATGATGATTAATGGAAACACTAATTAAATGTGTCCAGCCATGCTTTTTTTTTTTTTCATCTGCTTATTAGACAGTTAACTGTTTTCACTAATCCACTTCATATTCAAGCAGGGATGGGCTAATTAACGATATCCTACTGAATTGAGTCTACTTATTTTTTTATATTATTATGGCAAGAACCATTTACTTGGATTGTAAATAATACAATGTAGTTTTCTGTCATTACTTACAAACAACCATATCTCCAATGAATAAAAAAATTTAAGGCTCAAGTACAATTTGTTTTAGGCAAACACTGGGATGTTTTCGGAGCCATTTGTAACTGACTAAAATAGATCTTCAAGCCTGTGTGGAAGCACACCAAAAATGTTTCATAATACACTGTGTGAGGACTGGAAAGATACAACTTGTGTGGCCTGGACATTTTGGCACCTGTTATGCTGTTTGTCAAAATTCTGATTACACAGATCACAGTGATGTCATTTACATGAACAATGTACGCTCAATGTTTTGTGTGTGCATTTTTTTTTAATAACATTTATAAATGCTTTTTTTTTTTCCTGATCATTCATAAAGTTAATCAACTGTATGCTTTTCCCTGATAACATTTAATTTCACACATGTGAGATTCATGTTTAACAAAATAGATTTGGCTTCAATTGGAGAGGTTGCTCTATTTAGTTAACTAATCATTACAGAATTGATGACAATAGAATTTAGGAATATTCGTAATTTGTGCATTTACTATAAACTGCTCAGTAAAATTTTGCTGGACATTCAGGGGTCTATTTGCTAAATGCCAACCAAATGTTTTAAAATTGTCACACGTTTGTGAAAACCTCCATATAATCTGGTTTATTCAAATTTCACAAACAGCCAAATTGCAACTACTTTTCTTATACAGGGAGTGCAGAATTATTAGGCAAGTTGTATTTTTGAGGATTAATTTTATTATTGAACAACAACCATGTTCTCAATGAACCCAAAAAACTCATTAATATCAAAGCTGAATATTTTTGGAAGTAGTTTTTAGTTTGTTTTTAGTTTTAGCTATGTTAGGGGGATATCTGTGTGTGCAGGTGACTATTACTGTGCATAATTATTAGGCAACTTAACAAAAAACAAATATATACCCATTTCAATTATTTATTATTACCAGTGAAACCAATATAACATCTCAACATTCACAAATATACATTTCTGACATTCAAAAACAAAACAAAAACAAATCAGTGACCAATATAGCCACCTTTCTTTGCAAGGACACTCAAAAGCCTGCCATCCATGGATTCTGTCAGTGTTTTGATCTGTTCACCATCAACATTGCGTGCAGCAGCAACCACAGCCTCCCAGACACTGTTCAGAGAGGTGTACTGTTTTCCCTCCTTGTAAATCTCACATTTGATGATGGACCACAGGTTCTCAATGGGGTTCAGATCAGGTGAACAAGGAGGCCATGTCATTAGATTTCCTTCTTTTATACCCTTTCTTGCCAGCCACGCTGTGGAGTACTTGGACGCGTGTGATGGAGCATTGTCCTGCATGAAAATCATGTTTTTCTTGAAGGATGCAGACTTCTTCCTGTACCACTGCTTGAAGAAGGTGTCTTCCAGGAACTGGCAGTAGGACTGGGAGTTGAGCTTGACTCCATCCTCAACCCGAAAAGGCCCCACAAGCTCATCTTTGATGATACCAGCCCAAACCAGTACTCCACCTCCACCTTGCTGGCGTCTGAGTCGGACTGGAGCTCTCTGCCCTTTACCAATCCAGCCACGGGCCCATCCATCTGGCCCATCAAGACTCACTCTCATTTCATCAGTCCATAAAACCTTAGAAAAATCAGTCTTGAGATATTTCTTGGCCCAGTCTTGACGTTTCAGCTTGTGTGTCTTGTTCAGTGGTGGTCGTCTTTCAGCCTTTCTTACCTTGGCCATGTCTCTGAGTATTGCACACCTTGTGCTTTTGGGCACTCCAGTGATGTTGCAGCTCTGAAATATGGCCAAACTGGTGGCAAGTGGCATCGTGGCAGCTGCACGCTTGACTTTTCTCAGTTCATGGGCAGTTATTTTGCGCCTTGGTTTTTCCACACGCTTCTTGCGACCCTGTTGACTATTTTGAATGAAACGCTTGATTGTTCGATGATCACGCTTCAGAAGCTTTGCAATTTTAAGAGTGCTGCATCCCTCTGCAAGATATCTCACTATTTTTGACTTTTCTGAGCCTGTCAAGTCCTTCTTTTGACCCATTTTGCCAAAGGAAAGGAAGTTGCCTAATAATTATGCACACCTGATATAGGGTGTTGATGTCATTAGACCACACCTCTTCTCATTACAGAGATGCACATCACCTAATATGCTTAATTGGTAGTAGGCTTTCGAGCCTATACAGCTTGGAGTAAGACAACATGCATAAAGAGGATGATGTGGTCAAAATACTCATTTGCCTAATAATTCTGCACTCCCTGTAATTAAAGGTATCTACTCAACTTAATTCAACCAATCCGCCCCCCGTTAAAACACTGTAACAATGCCCAAAATCTAAATTCCCCTGAGACCCTACTCTTCTCTTAATGGCATTTTTTATAACATGGACATATGGCTGCAGACTGTTTGCAATTCAGTTGAACTATTCTAAAATAAATATCCATGTAGCAATGAGATCCATGTGAAACTAGCAGAGATCCATTCGGCTTAGTTCAGCTAGCATTCGTTTGTTAGTAATAGTAAATATGGTGAACCACGGGGGATTTTTAACATCTGAGTGCAGGAAAATTGAGCCAAATGAAATCAGCCAAATTCGCTGTTTATTTAATAGACCCTCATCAGTGTTACCGTATTACATACCAGTCATCCGCTACTCTATAACACAGTGTTCCTTCTTCAAACACTTGAGGATGATGAAAAGTTTAAAAACCATATTTATTTATTTATTTATTTAATGGAAGCCCCAAATAAAGTCTGATTTAACTCCAATAATTGTTTAGTGTGAATACAAAGCATAACACATATTAATGCATGTACCATTGCACCCAACATTTTCAATGGACAGTGACAATGACACTTTAAGTTTTAGGGGTGTAAGTGGGAATGTGGCCATGGGTTGAATATTTTTTTTTTCAACTGATACTGAAAGAAAATACATTGCAACTTTATGAGGTTGATTCAAAACATGCACTTGAATCCATCTGGAAGCTATACTCTCCATTATTAGCTGACAACTCCGAAACAAAACTGTCCTAGAATGTATGGTTATCTGACCAAACAAATTCTTTGTCAATTCTGCTAGTTAATGCTGGTTGTTACATGCAGTAACGGACACATCTATTGAAGCTCATAGAATATAAACTGTTACCACAACATTGCCATACAGAGCACTAAACAAACCTTATTGAACTTTACTAAGGTTTAACTTGACATGATTTATATTAAATTCATATATTTGCAGGCCCCATAACCTATCCATAACATATTATTGATTTCCTAAACATAGCATGGTAGCTATTAACAGACAACAAACTTGGGCATGGCTATTAAAACCCAAATGGGTATCGGTTGGAAAAAAACACACGTTAAAGAAACCATCTTGAAGCGTTAATATGAACGTTAATATGAACTTGACCAGGGTGTATTCTTATTGTCTCCAGTATAAATCTCCAATATACCATGCAAACTGAAATGAGGGAGAGATGGTACAATTGAATATTTATTGTAGGAAATGCACTTGCGAACAATCATTTAACATCACTTATCACATATGAAGTGCCAAGGCAGGTATACCGAAATACACAAATCTAAGGCATTGAATGTCCTATAGTCAGGAAAGAGAACATACTATATATATATATTCATGGGGAAAACAATGTACACCCTCTTTGAATTTGACTTTGGTATACAAAGGGTTCATCGTCGACTCAAAGACAGCAAGATTCCCAGGTCCTGCAAAGCCATGTGGCTGCAAAACAAGTTCAAATCATCACCCCTCCACCATTGTCCTTGGCAGTTGGTATGAGGTGTTTCTGCTGATATGCTGTGTTTGTTTCACCAAATGTGGCGCTGTGCATTGTGGCCAAACATCTCCACTTTGGTCTCGTCTGTCTGACATTATTCTAGAAGTCTTGTGGTTTGTTTAAATGCTACTTTGCAAACCTAAGCCGTGCTGCCATGTTCGTTTTCAGAGAGAAGAGAGCTTCTCCTCACAGCCCTTCCAAACAAACCATGCTTGTTCAGTCTTTTTCTAATTATACTGTCATGAACTTTAATATTTAACATGCTAACTGAAGCCTGTAGATTCTGAGATTGTAGAGGTTAACACAGTGAGGGAGTTTAAGCATGCATGGGATAGGCATAAGTCTATCCTAGACTTAAAGGACCACTATAGTGCCTGGAAAACATACTCATTTTCCTGGCACTATAGTGCCCTGAGGGTGCCCCCACCCGCCCGGCTCTGGGGAGAGAAAAGGGGTTAAACTTACCTTTTTCCAGCGCCGGGCGGGGTGATCTCCTCCTCCGATCCTCCTCCTCTCCTTCCATTCGGCTGAATGCGCACGCACGGCAAGAGCTGCGCGCGCATTCAGCTGGTCTCATAGGAAAGCATTCATAATGCTTTCCTATGGACGCTTGCGTGTTCTCACTGTGATTTTCACAGTGAGAATCACGCAAGCGCCTCTAGCGGCTGTCAATGAGACAGCCACTAGAGGATTTGGAGGATGGATTAACCCATTTATAAACATAGCAGTTTCTGTGAAACTGCTATGTTTATAAATGGGTTAATCCATCCTCCAAATCCTCTAGTGGCTGTCTCATTGACAGCCGCTAGAGGCGCTTGCGTGATTCTCACTATGAAAATCACAGTTTATAAAAAAAATGGGTTAATCCTAGAGGGACCTGGCACCCAGACCACTTCATTAAGTGGTCTGGGTGCCTAGAGTGGTCCTTTAAGTTAAGGCCAGGGACTAATTAAAGTATTTTGAAAATTGGGCAGACTAGATGGGCCGAATGGTTCTTATCTGCCATTCTATGTAACTCTTGGTTTTTTTTTTGCAATTCCTCTGAGCATTGCATTGTCTGACCTTGCAGTAAATATGCTTTAACAACCACCACTGGAATGATTGGCAACTGGTTTGACTGTTTTCCACTTTTGAATAACCTTTCTCACTGTAGAATGACTTTAAATTGTTTGGAAATGGCCTTAGAACCTTCCCAGATTGATGGGTACCAACAATTTCTAAGATCACACTGGCTGTTTTTCCTCCTTGGCATCGTGTTTACACACATCTGAATGCTCCAAACTGCTAAAACTTTATCTTTTATAGAGGTGGTCACAGTTGCTGAGGAGCAATTAATCAAGAGCATTTGATTAGCAACACGTGTCTGCTACTTAGCCTCTTAATTCTTATGGAAGCAGTAAGGGTGTGCTTCATTTTTTACACAGGCGTTCTCCATTTTGGCTTTATTATTCTTAAATCAATCATGACACAGTGTAATATGTCATGTGCTGTTGTTCATCTGAGGTTGTATTTAGTTATTTTAAGACGTGCTAAGGAACAGAAGATTGTTATGTCCTGATATTTAAAACCATAGACTTCAAAGAGGGTTCACCTTTTTTTCCCTGACAGTATATATAAAACAGGCACAAAATGAAAACCATGTGCATAATATCGTGAAGGTCCACTCATACTGCCAAACCAGCTCTTTTACGTTGAGTCATTGACTCCACAAGACCTCTGAATGTGTCCTGCAGTATCTGGCACCCATACATTAGCAACAGATCCTTTAAGTCCTACAAGTTGCGAAGTCGAACCTCCATAGGTTAGATTTATTTTTCCAGCACATCCCACAGATTTTCAACCAGATTGAGATCTAGGAATTTGGAATCCAAGGCAACACCTTGAAGTCTTTGTCATGTTCCTGAAACCATTGCTCAAAATTTTTGTAGTATGACAGGGTGCATTATATTGATGAAAGAGGCCACTACCATTGCCATGAAGGGATATACATGGTCTTCAACAATCTCTAAATAAATGGTACGTATCAAAGTAACACCTACATGAATACCAGGACCAAGGTCTCCCAGGAGAACATTGCCCAGAGCAGTGGTCCCCAACACAGTCCTTATGGACCACCAAGAGTCCAGATTTTGTTAGTATCTCCATTTAAATAAAAAAGGGAAATACATACATCCTAGACTATTGTTGGGCCTTGAGGACTGGATTGGGGACCACTGGCCCAGAGCAAAACACTGCCTCCGCGGGCCTGCTTTCTTCCCATTGTGCATCTTGCTGCCATCTCTTTCCCAGGTAATAGACACATGTGCACCCGGCCATCCACCTAATCTAAAATAAAACTTTATTCATCAGACCAGGCAACCTTCTTCCATTGCTCTATTGTCCAGTTCTGATGCTCACGTCCTCATTGTAGGCATTTACGGCAGTTGACAGTTGTCATCATGGGCACTCTGAACGGTATGAAGCTATGCATCTACAACACATAAAATTCAAGAACTGACTGTTCACTTGATGCCTAATATATCCCACCCTTGACAGGTGCCATTATTATTCACTTCACCACCTCAGTAGTTTTAATGTTGTGGGCTGATCAGTGTTTATGTTTCTTTTTTTAATGTATTTTTCCAGTGCTATGGATTGATTTTACTATGCCATCAATAAAGGAGGAGTTTTGTTTTTTAAATTTTGGTAGAATTGTATTTTTGAATGCTTCGTTAAGCACCTATCGCAGGGCTATTTGTTTGTTGGCCCTGTCCACATATGTTCCATGAAAGTTCTTTTTGAAGGTGGCACTTGGCAATTGGGTCAGCTGCACGTGTATGTGGCAATATGCCAAATTCCCACAATCTGCATATTTGTACATATTTATTTTATAAATGAATTACTGCCTGATAAATAGGTTTATTCACTAAACACAGGATTTTGTTTATCTGGACAAATGACTGAATTTCAACTGTAATAGCAATTATCATATATACTAAAGCCAAATACTGTCGGAATTTAATCACAACCGAGCACCTCAACAGCAATCGCCTGGATAAAATCAGTGCTTCCTCATCTGAACCATGTACAAAGTATAGGATGCAGAAGATTCACAAACACAAAGGATATGAGATTTCTGAGAACGGACAAAAGCTTTCGGAATCTCAGTAGCTTGCCCTTCGGTAAATCCACGCTCAGGTCTCAAAATGTTTGTTTTTTATCATAAGATTCACAAAGCATCAATATAAAAAAAAAATCAAAACTGAATGCATCCAGGAGGCTGCAGATTTGCTAATTATTATTCATTAGCTTCTTTATAAGTAAATTAATTATTTTAAGTACTATTTGCTCGCTGGCAGTGCTAGTAGCCTCTGGGCAAATAGTTAAAAACCCTCAGTGATGCAAAGGTTAATTATGTGGCAACTGGCCAGTGCTTGCTAGTCATCCACTACATAAAATTTTTTAAAATACATAAATACTATAAGTGAGGTATAAAATCTCCATATACACCCACCTACCATGTGGTGGGGGTGTATCTGTTAAATGTTTTAAACTACTGACTGGGCAGCCATTCCTGCTAACTCATTAGAAAGTTGTGGAGAGGCCTGTTAAATGGTACAGGAGGACCCCTATATCCCGACTTGTGGGCATTGGGTGGGGACTTCAAAATAAATAATGGAGAGCAGATGGGGGCTATTTAATAAAATAAAAGGGGGGAAATCCTAATGTTCCCCCTGCACTCATCTGTTATCAGCAGGTGGGGCTATTATATTATATAGGGGAGAGCCAAGTGTCCCCCAAAACCCAAGGGCGATATGTGGGGCCTTAATTAGAACAGTCAAGGTCATGTCTATATCAAAGATGTTTAACTTCCATTTATATGAATACTTTGAAAGTGTAAATCAGTCAGTGAGTCATAGTTACAATATAGTTACATAGTTACATAGCTGAAAAGAGACTTACGTCCATCAAGTTCAGCCTTCCTCACATATGTTGTTGCTGTTGATCCAAAAGAAGGCAAAAAACCCAGTCTGAAGCGCTTCCAATTTTGCCACAAACTAGGAAAAAAATTCCTTCTTGACCCCAAAATACCAGTCAGATGTCTCCTTGGATCAAGCAGCTATTACCCCACTAATTAGAAATTATATCCCTGTATGTTATGTTTTTGTAAGTATTTATCCAATTGCAGTTAAAACATCTGTAGTGACTCTGACAAAACCACATCTTCAGGCAGAGAATTCCATATCCTTATTGCTCTTACTGTAAAAAAAACATTTTCTTTGCCTTAGATGAAATCTCCTTTCATCCAGCCTAAATGTGTGACCTCGTGTGTTATGTATAGCCCTGTTTATGAATAGATTTCCAGATAAAGGTTTGTACTGGCCCCGAATATATTTTTATAAAGTTATCATATCCCCTCTCAGGTGCCGTTTTTCCAAACTAAACAGATTAAATTTTTTTAACCTTTCTTCATAACTAAAATCCTCCATTCCTTTTATCAATTTTGTAGCTCGTCTCTGGACTTTTTCTAGTGCCATGATATCTTTCTTTAGAACAGGCGCCTAAAATTGCACAGCATAGTTCTTCAACTATTACAGACACATGATAAGACAGTCAATTTTGGTGCTTCCTTTGGTGCTTTGTGATCTGAGCCTCTACAATCTCAAAAACATTGAAAATACAATTTTAAATGTATTTTGAAAAATAAATGCATTCTGTCATGAACAAAGTTTGATTTTTCAGTGGACATAGTCAGTAGTTTCACAGGACTTACAAAAATGTGTGTGTACCGTGTTGGTTTCTACAGAGCATGGACAGAGCCTTTGTTAAATTCCATGACGGTCTGTAAAAAATAAGGTAAATTTGCTGTAGGGTAATGGATGTCCTACACTAAAATTACATTTAAACAGGTAAGGAAAACGTATTATTAGTCGCACAAAGCAATGGGTGCAAATTAAAACAAGAATTTGAAATACATTTTTTGCGTATTAAACAAAATATGTCATTGACAGGTAGTCACTTAAATGACCCTATCAGCCATTTGGGTAAACCTTTTCATGACCTTCTACATGGATGATCGAGTTAAAACAAGTCCTTTCCTTGAGTACTTTTGTTACATGCATCTTCCAGTCAGTGGTGTCTGTTACATTCTATTTGAAGATATAACTATTGAAAATGAGGTGTAAGAATCGTAAAAATCTGATTAGAGTCTGAAAATGGAAATGCCATTTTGTATATTGAATGGATTTGTTGAACACCAGTTAATAAAATAGGTAGTAACAGTATCAATCAGGTGCTTTGTTTTATGTTCCATCAACAAGACATTGATATTTGTTCAGCATTAAGGATGTGTGTAGGTGCCATAATACAAAGCACTCCTTAAAAAAGTTATATTCACAGTATGACCAGTATTGTATCATATATTCTTTGCTGGCATAACCAAGACATTTTTACCTGTGTCAATCAGTGATCATACTTCATTAAATCAGAAATGTAATATTGATTACGGGAAATTCAAAAATTAGAGCCAAGATAGCCAAGCAGAATCCATAGCTGACTTATAGAATTGTTCCATTTTGGCTATTTTAGTCTTACATTTATGGGGATGTGGCCAGCAGTCAAGGAGAGCAGACATGCCCTTTATTCTTTTATTTTTAAGCCATTCTATTGTCAATTTGCTGATGTGCTTGAGATCATAGTTCTGTTACATGATCATTGTCCTGTCAGCCAAGATCAGACAGATGACCTCACATTTGACTCTAGAATACTTTTGTGGTCATGGTCAACCCAATGATTTCAAGGTTCCAAGGTCCTGTGCCTCCAAAATAAGCCCAAATAATCATCACCCCTCCACCACCGTGCTTGACAGTTTGTATGAGGTGTTTGTGCTGAAATACTGTTTTATCTTTTCACCAAACTTGGAGCTGTGCATGATGGCTAAACATCCCCTCACTGGGGATGGAAAACTGACTCTTTTGCTTTTGTAGATTGCTTTTGTATTTTGGTCACCCTGTGCCCAGCATAGGTACAGGGTGTGTATAATGTATTGATTTCCCAGGTTGTATGTGCCTTTTCCCCTCCCCCTTCTCCTGTCTTGTTGTTCTCCCCTTCACTAAGTGTCATCATATGCTTGGGGAGGTGGGCTAAAATCCTTACAGCAGCAGTTCTTCACCTGAGAGGACTTCAGCGGAGATACTAACTTGGAGTATTGAAGCTCCGCTACATATTTTAATATATAAAAATATTAGCCCTCCTTTTTTACCTTTATGGTTTACTTCTCACTTGATCTGTTCCATTGCCATCAATTATAATCTTTTTTGTGGCACCACAGGTGAAATTCAGAATCATGGCCCTAAATGAACATGTTCAGCCAATTCGCGTTATGTTTCATCTCTCGATTTAAGTAAATTGTGGCTCAGAGCTCAGGAATTCAACCAATATTTTGATCGGTCTAAATTTGGACAAACTGCAGTTCAAACCAAAACGAATCTCCAAGTCTATAGCATGGACATTATTTGAGGTATTCTGAAGACTGTTGCTCATGTTATTCTTTCCTTATCTCATTTCCAGCACAGATGAGCACAAGAACTTAAAAGGGGATTGATTGAGTCTCCTTTATGTTTTACTGGCACCTTAAAATCCCCTAAACCATCTTGTTCCCTTGCAATTAGGTCACCAACAGTTGCATGTCAATGGTCTATTTTTTTATTGCTTATTACTGCCATGTGGTACTGGATTAAGCTTCAGTAATGTGAAACAAAGTTTTGAATATCTGCCAAACATTCACTCGGTCATTCGCAAATTAATGTGGCCAACTTCCATGTGCTTTGAAAAATGTGACAAAGCATTCACTTATCCCTTTCCATAACCTTTTATTCCTGGAGCTCTTGCTTAGTGTTGGAAAAACGGATAGTTAATTGAGGACTTGCAGCATTATAACTGGTGATTTCTTCCAACCAGTCTGAATCGACCACCTCATAAAACCCAAGCTGTAAGAAGTCAATGACTATATGTGAGTTTGGCAATAGTGAGAGTAGTTTTGGAGAAGCAGCCTTTTATTAAAACCCTTGCTCTTTCCCCTCACTATAAAAAAGCACAAAAATAAAATGAAAAGTATTAACTCACATTAGCTCCCATGCTGAGGCCAAATTCTTCCTGCAGCCCGAGTCTCCTCAATTGATGCCATGCTTCCTCACTGGACTGATCTTGGGTAGGCGTGTCCAGAGTCCCTTGCAGTAGTGAGAGCACTGTTAAAGTGAGATTTCTTTGGGAAAAGCAAGTCTTATGGCTCGACTGGTGTGTGTTTAGCAATGTATTAACTATCCACTTACTTCAGGTGGAAGGGGTTTTCATTCACACTTTTTCCCCACCACAACTCTGTTGGTATGTGTGTGTGTATGTATATATATACAGGGAGTGCAGAATTATTAGGCAAGTTGTATTTTTGAGGATTAATTTTATTATTGAACAACAACCATGTTCTCAATGAACCCAAAAAACTCATTAATATCAAAGCTGAATATTTTTGGAAGTAGTTTTTAGTTTGTTTTTAGTTTTAGCTATGTTAGGGGGATATCTGTGTGTGCAGGTGACTATTACTGTGCATAATTATTAGGCAACTTAACAAAAAACAAATATATACCCATTTCAATTATTTATTATTACCAGTGAAACCAATATAACATCTCAACATTCACAAATATACATTTCTGACATTCAAAAACAAAACAAAAACAAATCAGTGACCAATATAGCCACCTTTCTTTGCAAGGACACTCAAAAGCCTGCCATCCATGGATTCTGTCAGTGTTTTGATCTGTTCACCATCAACATTGCGTGCAGCAGCAACCACAGCCTCCCAGACACTGTTCAGAGAGGTGTACTGTTTTCCCTCCTTGTAAATCTCACATTTGATGATGGACCACAGGTTCTCAATGGGGTTCAGATCAGGTGAACAAGGAGGCCATGTCATTAGATTTTCTTCTTTTATACCCTTTCTTGCCAGCCACGCTGTGGAGTACTTGGACGCGTGTGATGGAGCATTGTCCTGCATGAAAATCATGTTTTTCTTGAAGGATGCAGACTTCTTCCTGTACCACTGCTTGAAGAAGGTGTCTTCCAGGAACTGGCAGTAGGACTGGGAGTTGAGCTTGACTCCATCCTCAACCCAAAAAGGCCCCACAAGCTCATCTTTGATGATACCAGCCCAAACCAGTACTCCACCTCCACCTTGCTGGCGTCTGAGTCGGACTGGAGCTCTCTGCCCTTTACCAATCCAGCCACGGGCCCATCCATCTGGCCCATCAAGACTCACTCTCATTTCATCAGTCCATAAAACCTTAGAAAAATCAGTCTTGAGATATTTCTTGGCCCAGTCTTGACGTTTCAGCTTGTGTGTCTTGTTCAGTGGTGGTCGTCTTTCAGCCTTTCTTACCTTGGCCATGTCTCTGAGTATTGCACACCTTGTGCTTTTGGGCACTCCAGTGATGTTGCAGCTCTGAAATATGGCCAAACTGGTGGCAAGTGGCATCGTGGCAGCTGCACGCTTGACTTTTCTCAGTTCATGGGCAGTTATTTTGCGCCTTGGTTTTTCCACACGCTTCTTGCGACCCTGTTGACTATTTTGAATGAAACGCTTGATTGTTCGATGATCACGCTTCAGAAGCTTTGCAATTTTAAGAGTGCTGCATCCCTCTGCAAGATATCTCACTATTTTTGACTTTTCTGAGCCTGTCAAGTCCTTCTTTTGACCCATTTTGCCAAAGGAAAGGAAGTTGCCTAATAATTATGCACACCTGATATAGGGTGTTGATGTCATTAGACCACACCCCTTCTCATTACAGAGATGCACATCACCTAATATGCTTAATTGGTAGTAGGCTTTCGAGCCTATACAGCTTGGAGTAAGACAACATGCATAAAGAGGATGATGTGGTCAAAATACTCATTTGCCTAATAATTCTGCACTCCCATATATATATATATATATATATTTTTTTTTTTTTTATTATTATTATTATTTTTATTTTTATTTTATTTATTTTTTTACCACTTGGCACACACATATAAGTGCTGTATATCACACAGTGTGACACATTTTGTTTGAGGTGTATACACATTTTTAAATACTGCTGTGTGGTGATACAGTTCACTACCTGTTATTTATTGTCAAAGTAATTACTAGCTGCACTTGATTTTAGCACTGGATATTAAACACTATATGCACTTTTTTAATGTATACACTGCCTTTTCAGAGAAAAGGCTTAGTAACACCTCTAGTGGCATTCACTCAGATGGCCTCTGGAGGTGCTTCCTGGGTCTATGCTGCACAATGTGCAGCATTGATGTTTAGCATCTCAATGCTGTGGGAAAGCATTAGATTGGCTGAGATTGTCAATTTTGATGATTTAAGCCAAGGAGGCAATGCGAGGCAGAGCCAGCTGCGAGGAGACTTGCGCGGCCCTGAAAAAACTGTTATACCTTTTTTGTAGAGAGCAAATGGGGGGGAAGGTGAGGGGGGAGCTGGAGACTTAAAATATGTTTTTAACACTATATTGCCAGGAATACATGTTTGTATTCTGGGCTCTATAGTGTTCCTTTAAGAGTATTACACTACTTTAATTTTACCAGTTTAGAATGTTTATTCTGGGAGTAATTAATTCTGGGAAGCATCTAGTACTGTGAGGAATTGAGATCAATTAAATACACATAAAAAATAATCTCATGCATTAAAATAAGAATGGCAGCTTTGCATGACTAAATGGAAATATTGATGGACCTTTTGCATGGTGTATATAAAGTCAAGAAGTGTTTAACAGCTGGGCATTATAAAATAGATAGTTTATTAACAAATGTAGCCTTCGCTTTTCAAATATTCTAAAGCAGTAATTAGCAAGCTGCATTGACAATATAAATAAATAAGCATTGCTAAAAGACAAGGGCACACGAAACAATGCTAAATAAATAAATAATGATATGCCTTTATCATAAAGCAGCTCAGTTTCAAAAGTAATGAAACCTGTCTGCGCTTTCGTAGTACAATATAAAAAAGGTATCTCTGCTGTAGCCTTTTGCTTCACTATGTATAGAGCTAAAAATATCTATACAATTGCTAGCTCGTAGGCGGACAGATTCCACAAGAATATGCTCAAAATAGCTGCAATGTAATGCACACTTTCACATTTTTTTCAGCCATTAGAAAAGAGTCATTACTGGCTACTGGCAGTTTTATAAAAAATATATTGCGGGAAATCATATCGTAAAAGTAACATGAATCCAACATTTTGGCAATGCCTACAGTATTTTCTTTATTATAGCAAGACCTTATGTGACATCTTTACACCATGTGGAGCTAGTATGATGTCCAAAGAGAAGAATGAAGCTTTCCTATTCCGACTGTACCAACCGTGTTCTAGTTTATATTTAATTAAAATTCTAAGTTAAAAATAAATTATATTTATTTTTATATTTATATGAACAAAGTAACATAATACAATTGTGAATAAGCAGCTTTTTATTATTTTAAATTGATTTTATTATTAAAATTCCCCTGTCCCTCAGGGGTTGATTGGACATGTTACCCAACCCCCAGCTGCTATTTTTTTTATCAGATCTGATTAGTGAAACTGTTTATGAAGCAGATAGAATCTGATGTGGAATCAATCAATTAATTGATTATCTTGTGTATCTGCCCCCGGCCAAATTAAAGAAGTAGTGCATGCACGCTCCTAAAGTAGACACAAGTTTCGGGTTAATGAACAACTTGAGGAATGTTTATTCTGAGGGGATGGCATGCCCCTTATAAAGCAAAATTACATAATATGCTTTGTCAGAGATAACATGAAATAATACATCAATAATTGGTTAGGTGTTAAGTGGTTCATTTATTGCTCTTCCTACCGGGTGTGATGTTACTGGTATCTTGGAGGTCTCCCCTAGATTCCAGCGCCATCTTGTTAGTGAGGGTGTTAGTCGATGTAGAAGGGGAAACTCCCTAGCGGCCATTTTAGGTAAATCACATATAAAGTTGAATAATGCTAATTGTAGATATACTGAGTAAATAGGCATTTTACTAACATAAATTGAGTTAATATTTTTGTCCACAACAGAATCCATAGTGCATTTTTTGTGTGAAAGGGTTGCATCCTGTGATCTCCCATGCCACTGACCACACAAACATACAATCACTGCTTGGTGAGGTAGTGTACATCAAAAAGGACTTTACCTGCATTGGGGCCTAATGTAATGTAAGCCAGAGAAAGAAAAGGATTACTTCATCCACCATGGCTACATCTTAGAAGTGGTCATGGTAGTAGGAGTCTGTATGTGCAGCGTTTCTGCATGAATCACTGCACATATAAAGAAATCTGCACTTTTTTGTTTCTCCCTCAATTTTCAACATTTACAATTTTGTTTTAATAATTAAAGAGCTTGCTCATGCGTTCTGACCTGTTGAAATGGTCCACTCAAACGCTCCTCTATGAGCAGAACTTCATTGAACCACAGATGACGTGGCGTGACGACAGACATGGGGTCAAAGCGGCACTGGATTCAAGGTGAGTTTTAATCTAGTCAATTGTTTTATAAATAAAATAAGGGAGGGTGGACAAGATCAAAAGTGCACAATAGTACATAATAAAGATTTTAAAAAATATTGTCTAGAATAGGGTTATAGTAACCCATGAGGAGAAGTGACAGGATATATCCTTACTATTTGTATAATAAAATAAACGAAACAATACAAATCTACAATTTTAGAAGATCCTGGTTTTCTCAAATTTTGCAATACTATAAATAGCAATTCTAGGGAAAGTTCTAAATTAGAGCTAAACCAAAATCACTCCAACCTTTTATTTATGTATTTGCTCCATGTATGTCAAAAGGCAGCGTGGCATAGAAGAAGAAAAAGTTTATATTAGCAAAGTGTAGAACTCTCATTTCTAATACTGTAGATCTATGAAAACAGATAGGGAGTAATTTCTAAGCAGAAATTCTTAGTCCCAGATCTACATTTAGAGCAAATCATGAGGAACAGTCTATTTGTTTCCATGGTTATAGTTCTAATTTTAGAACATTCCCCAGAATTGCTATTTATATTATTGCAAAATTTGAGAAAATTATTACTTCTAAACATGTATTGCTTTTGTTTTTTTGTTTGTTTTATTATCCAAATAGTAAGGATATATCCTGCCACTTCATGGATGGGACAAAGCAGAGATTGAAAGTGTTTTTCTGGCTGGCTGAGCATCCTGAGAAATTTAGTTCACAAATAATTAAAAGCATAAACTACTCTGTGTACCCCAGGCACTGTTTTGAAACTGCATTTCCCATGATGCACAACCAACCAAGGCTGATTGAGCATCATTAGAAATATTGTTCACAAACATCTGGAAACATCAGGATCTCTACATACATTATGCACTGGAGATAATTTGAAACCACTTTTTCACCATAAAAGGCTTGCTGAGCATCCAGGCAAATGTCATTCACCTACATATACAAACATAATTTTATTATCCCAGTTAGTCTCAGGTTCTGTGGAATGTTTGCATTTTTGTCCTTGTCAGTTCAACTTTGTTTACTTGCTCTGAAATAGTGGAATAGGTCACTAAACAGTGCTGTCAGTAAGGAGGCAATGCATGATTTTTACAGCTGTTCATTTTTTCAGCCATAAATACAAAAGGTTCAGCCTGACACAACACGTGTGAAGCTGTTTGCTGCTGTTCTCTACCTAAAGCAGTAGAGGCTGGTATAGGCAGTGGTGTATCCTGGTTTTGTGCTGCCCTAGGCAGGACAAAACTCAGGCGCTCTCCTTCCCCCCCCGCCACTCCCACCCAACCCTTCCCCCCGCCCCTCCTTCTAAATACACACACACACATTCACTGACAGATACGCATACACTAGCTAACACTAACAGACACACACTCACTAACAGACACACTCACACTAACAGACACACACACACACACACACACTAACAGACACACACTAACAAACACACACACACACTAACAGACACACACTAACAGACATACACACTCACTAACAGACACACTCACTAACAGACACACACACACACTAACAAACACACACTGACAGACACACACTAACAGACATACACACACACTCACATTAACACATTTTTAAAAAAATTTTATTTAACCCCCCCAGCCTCCTTACCTTTGGGAATGCTGGGAGGGGGGGTTCCCTCTCTTCCTGAGGGTGCAGTGGCTGCTGGGCGGGCGGCGCTAGCTGGTGGCTGGTGAGGGAGCACTTCCTCTGAGCTGTCTGCTCAGCTCCCTCGCGCGCCGCAGAGTGATGCCGGGAATATGACATCATATTCCGGCTCCCAGCTTCACTCTGCGGAGTGCGAGGGAGCTGAGCAGACAGCTCAGAGGAAATGCTCCCTCGCCAGCGCCACCCGCCCGACCGGCATGTCAGTTAACAAGACATTTGCCCTGGGCATTTTGGGTGGCTTTTTTTGCCACCCCCTGGAAAATGCCGCCCAAGGCAAATGCCTTGTTTGTCTCACAGCTAAAACGTCCCTGGGTATAGGCCCATAGGTCCATGTTGCAAAAAAAAAAAAGTAGCTGTGAGAACTAACGATAAATGTATTAAAAAAGCTGAAATTTCCAGATGCTGTGTTTGTTTTTTTTATGGTTTTGAGCATGGCGTAACATCTCATTGTGTCAGGGTTTGAGTGGGCAGAACTTGGATTGTTTAAAGGAACACTTTAGGCACCCAGTTCACTTCAACACAATGAATTGGACTGGGTGCCATCTGCCCCTGTTTTAACCCTGCTGCTGAAAACATTGCCATTCCTCGGGATTAGCAATTATTTCTCTGCAAGTTACCCTGCCTCTAGAGGCTGTCATGCTAGCAGCCATCATAACTGTTAAGTGATATAGCATTGGGAAACCTATGGGAATGCATTGGGTTGGCTCAGATCCTCAACATTGATGATCTCAACCAAAGAGGCGGCGCTTCACGGAGGAGACCACTGAAGGGTAGGCTGAAAGATAAGTAATATTGCCTTTAATACCTTTACCTACAACCATGGCAGCACTGGCCGGTCATCTAAATGGTGACCAGGGCACTATAGCATTAGGAATTCCTTTTTTTATTTTCAAAAACCATAGTGTTCCTTTAAAAAAACCAAAAACTTTTATTTTAATTCTGCAATGTAAAACAGTTACTACCTTCTCCAGAGTGAAACCTGGACCTGGAATGACTTAGTATATGCCACAGTATATTTGTATGTATACATATATAATTTTGTTAAGAATATTTGCTTAGAGATTTAATTGCATGTTCTCCTAAATGATTGTCATTTACTATCCTTTATTATTTATTTATAGTTTTTACAGAGAGTAAAGCTGTAGAACACTTCTCATAAACAAGAGAAAATCAGTTTATTTCTACAATATATTTCCACTCTTGTTAGTCAAGTAACAATTTCTACTCTTTTTAATGTTGCCAAGCAACAAAGTGACCTCTTCCAGTGTGTTTCTAAAATGATAACTCATAAAATATTCAAAACTCATGTTCTTAAGATTTTAAACATGGTTAAAATGGAGTTTGAAACTCTGAAATTACATTAAATGTAAAATGAAATTAACTTAAAATATATTCTTCTAAGTAACTTCCTTGGCCTTAAATAACAATAGAACTCACAAAAAAAAAAAAAGATGCTATGTTACGTAACCACTTCCTTCCATACAATGTACCTATTCTGGCTCATTTATTTACTTACACCATTTGCTTTACATACACCACTGTCTTTCACCCTGCCAATAAAACATATTTCTTGGCTGCATTTACACTATACTCTATCTGAATCAGGGTGAGTATAATCATTGTGTTTACATTGCCCCTAGGGACATCTCCCAAAGGCCACTTCACAGATGGCCACTGGAGGTGCTTCCTGGGTCAGTGCTGCACAGTAGGCAGCTCTGCCGTTCACGCTCTGCATGGGGATGCTGAATTTTCCTCATAGATATGCATTGATTCAATGCATCTCTATGAGGAGGTGCTGATTGGCCAAAACGGCATTTGGCCCCACCCCTTGCCAATTTTAGCCAATCCAATGCTTTTCCCATGGGAAAGCATTGGATTGGCTAAAAGTCGTCAATTCTGATGATGTCACAAATGGAGCGACCCTTGTAGAGCTGAAAATAAGGTGAGTTTTAACCCATTCTGAGGGGGCTAAGGGAGAAGGCAAGCCACCTAAATGGTGGGTTTAACACTATAGGGACAGGAATACATGACCGGTGTATAGTCGTCATATGGGCAGTCGGACTCCAGGACAACCCTCCCACATACCTAACCCAATAACGCACTGACACTCGGGTATATGGGAAAATTTGTCCACAGCTTTATTAAACAATCTTAAATAATAATAACAATATATTCATTATAACATAAATAACTTAACAAATAAACATGGGTCATTGCCCCCCATACTCCACCCTCGCATCCGAATCCTTCTGTTAATATAAAAGGCAATGACCCCCATATAAATAACACATATATATAACATATACCAACATTATTCCAACATACCAACTTAAAGTGCCAAACATAAATTAACCATGGCAGGGGTATACCCAGAATGCCGAAGTTCCGAGGTGTCAAAGTGCCGAAGTTCCGAAGCACAGTATTGCCTAAGTACTAATATACTTACCCAGTGAAAGAAGAAGAATGTTACACTGTATACAATTTCAAATAAAAAGTATACAAACATAGCCAGGATCCAGCTGTAAGCTTTTGAAACACTTACAACAATCAAGTAACATACATTCATATAAAATGTAAGTTACTTAGCCAGTCATGTAATGACAAGAATGAATAAGTAGATAACTCCCTAATTCCCACGGTATTAGGGAGCTATCTACTAAAAGGCTGAAAGACCTAAATTGGTCTTTCAGCCAAATTTACTAATACTAAGTAAAGATTACTTAGTATTAGTAAATTATGCCCCTACTCGCTATAACCTGTGGCTGTGGCTGCTCACTGTAAAAAAAAAAAGGGGGCCCCCCTCCCTGAGCGCCGGGTGGGGGCCCTAAAGTAAAAAATATATGAATTGTGACCTATTGTCCTCCCCACCGGCCCCCACCCTTGAGCGGTGGGTGGGGGCCCTAAATACAAATTGGGAGTGGACCTAATGTCCTCCCCCCTGGCCCCCACCCCTGAGTGGTGGGTGGGGGCCCTAAACAAGAATAAGGGGGGGCATAATGTCCTCCCCCTGGCCCCCACCCCTGAGCGGTGGGTGGGGGCCCTAAATACAAATTGGGGGAGGACCTAATGTCCTCCCTCCCTGGCCCACACCCCTGAGCGGTGGGTGGGGGCCCTAAATACAAATTGGGGGAGGACCTAATGTCCTCCCCCTGGCCCCCACCCCTGAGCGGCGGGTGGGGGCCTTAAATACAAATTTAACCCCCCTCCCCTCCAGGTGACTAGGGGTCCCCAAACCCCTAGTCACCCCCTCCCCAAAAAAATAAACTCCTACCTACCCCCTCGCCCTAAAAATAATGAGGGGGGACCTTTAACTAAATACCTGTAAAAATAAACTTACCATTCAATGTTTTCTTTCTTGTAAAATCTTCTTTTTTCAGCCCCAAAAAAGGCCAAATAAAAATCCATAATAACCGACGCAATTAAAAAAACAAACCCCAAAAAAATGAGCGCAAAAAAAAAAAATCCACCTTCACCCGGCGAGGGTGTTGACCTACAATTAAGTCATCTGTAATAATTACTCTTAAATCCAGTTCCTCAGATGTTGAGGTTAGGACTCTATCAAATATTCTGTACTTTGCCCTTGGGTTTTTATCCACTTTAAATGTCAGTTGCCACAACTATGACCATTTTTCTAGTTTACCTAAATCATTTACCACTTGGCTTATCACTCCTGGAACATCAATCTTGTTACACATCTTAGTATCATCAGCAAAAAGACATACCTTACCATCAAGACCTTCTGCAAATCACTAATAAAAATATTAAAGAGTGACAAGCCCATGCTTCGAATATACTCCTTTGACTACAACCCTCTGTTGCCTGTCACTCAGCCACTGCCTTACCCATTCAACAATATTGGAATCCAAACTTAAAGATTGCAGTTTATTGATAAGCCTTCTATGTGCAACAGTGTCAAAAGTTTTACTGAAATCTAGGTAAGCAATGTAGGTGCAGTAAGGCATATTTGGTGGGACTGCCCTGGAATAATACACTTTTGGAATAATGTAAAAGATACGGTAACTGAGACTACGGGGTAAACCCCCTCATTTTGGTATTGGGAATGTGCTGTTGCATTTGACACCTATTCCACTTTCTAAATACACTGCTTGGCCAAAAAAAAAGTCGCCACCTGGATTTAACTAAGCAAACAGGTAAAAGCCTCCTATTGGATAGTTATTGCAAGGGCGATTATCTTTCAGCTGGCAAAAAGTTATTTAACCCCAACTGATGCAATGAGCAGCTTCTCTTTTCTTTAACAACTTTGTCGAATGACACATCCCATGGTTGTGGAAAAGATGTTAAGTCTGTTTGAGAAGGTTCAAATCATTGGCATGCATCAAGCAGAGAAAACATCTAAGGAGATTGCAGAAACTACTAAAATTTGGTTAAGAAATGTCCAGCGCATTATTAAAAACTGGAAGAATAGTGTGGAACCATCGTCTTCGAGGAAGAAATGTGGTCGGAAAAAAATCCTGATTGATTGTGATCTGTGATCACTTAAACACTTGGTGAAATAAAAACGTAGAAAAACAACAGTAGAACTCAGGGCTATGTTTAATAGTTAAAGTAAGAGCAAAGGAAGCACAGAATGCAAAGGAAACTCAAGGGATTGGGACTGAACAGCTGTGTAGCCTTAAGAAAACCACTTATCAGTGAAGCTAATCGGAAAAAAAGGCTTCAGTTTGCTAGGGAGCATAAAGATTGGCTCTGGAGCAATGGAAGAAGGTCATGTGGTCTGATGAGTCCAGATTCACCCTGTTCCAGAGTGATGGGTGCATCAGGGTAAGAAGAGAGGCAGATGAAGTAATGCACCCATCATGTCTAGTGCCTACTTTACAAGCCTGTAGGGCCAGTGCTATGATCTGGGGTTGCTGCAGTTGGTCAGGTCTAGGTTCAGCAACATTATGTGCCCAAAGAATGAGGTCAGCTGACTACCTGAATATACTGAATAACTAGGTTATTGCATCAATGGATATTTTCTTCCCTGATGGCATGGGCATATTCCAAGATGACTAAGCCAGGATTTATCAGGCTCAAATTGTGAAAGAGTGGTTCAGGGAGCATGAGACATAATTTTCACACATGGATTGGCCCCACAGAGTCGAGTTCTTAACCCCATTGAGAATCTTTGGAATGTGCTGGAGAAGGCTTTGAGCAGTGGTCCAACTCTCCCATCATCAATACATGATCTTGGTGAAAAATTAATGTAACACTGGACGGAAATAAGTCTTGTGACATTGCAGAAGCTTATCTAAACAATGCCACAGCGAATGTGTGCCGTAATCAAAGCTAAAGGCAGTCTTACCAAATATTAGAGGGTGTGACCTTTTGTTTTGGTGGCGACTTTTCTTTTGGCCAGGCAGTGTATTTTGAGGCATTTGTTTAATGCAGCTAAATCTTTTGTCCTTACCCTCTGGAAACAAACGCATGCCCCTAGCATAGAAAAAATTCTGACACGGGTTAAGGAAATTCAATTAGCAGAAGCTGTGCAGGCAACAAATATTGGACAAAGTACTAAACATACAGAGATGTGGTACCCATGGTGTGAATACTTAGCAAAGACCGAGTTACCAGAAAGGGCGAATTCTGTTACTTGAAGAAATATAAGGGGGTGGCATGCGCCTCTCTTTATTTTGACATGTTGTCACACACCGCCAATTGAGTTCACGAGACATTGTTAGTGACTGATGACTAGACTGTGACAAGATGACCCAGAGCATGGAAATTTTGACGGGACCCAAATTAGAGTGATATTGTTGTGCGTTTCAATCTACTCTGCCTTGCATTACTATGCTTTCTTCAGTAACGTTGGTCAAATTTACTGAGGCAAACTGTACTTTAACACATAGCATGCGTAATAGTCACATAGCTCTAAGCACAGCTTCTGAAATCATTATACAGCTCAGTTTTGTTTGCTGCATGCTGCATTTTGCGAACATTCAGCAGACATTGTCATCTGCAGGATGCTCTGATAACACTCCATCCATAGCAAAATAAATTGAATTCCTTATTTGGAACTGACGAGCTTAGAAATACAATGAGAAACTGAAAAAAGACTGTGCAAATAAAAAATTTTATCGGCTGGCTTATACTTGGAAATCATTTTGTAGTAATGAATGGAATATTAAAAGATTAAAAAACGATATTCCAATCAGTAGCTTCTTTTTGGGAGGAACACACATATGAACCAGAATATGTGCATATAGTATCAGTAACCCTAATTCTATTTGATCTTAATTTCATTTTAACTTGAGATTCTATTAAAATGTGTTTTGTTTCTCTAAAATTATTATATATTTTGTCTATAATAAGAAGGTGCGTGTGACGAAGCGCCCTTCGCCACTTGTGCCTCTTGCCGTATGACTATGGCCCCTGGAAGATTTTGCCCTTTAAATACGTTATTTGGGCATAGTGGATTTTATTAGACTGGTTCTGGCCCTTTAAATGCTCTGACAAAGGGGTCCAAAGTAGGGGTCCTCATAGACTGGTCCTGTGAGGAACCCCAACAGGCAGGTGGAGATGGGACCGAGGTCTCTCCACCGGGCCCACCGGGATGCTAGGCAGCCGGCCCAGATCCCCAGCAGTGGTCGGAGTTACCGGGTGCGGAGGCAGGTGGTCCTTATTCTCAAATGTTGAGGGACCTCATAGACTTGTCCTGGGAAGACCCACAGATGGCAGGTGGAGATGGGACCGAGGTCTCTTCACCGGCCCTACAAGGATGCTGGGCAGCCGACCCAGATCCCCAACTGCAGTTGGAGCCCCAGGGAGAGGAGGCAACCGGTCTCTCTCCCCAGCGGCAGCAGGAGTACCAGGAGGAGGAGGTAGGCGACCCCTCCCCTCCACAGCCAACCCCTAACCCGGTACTGGGTTTAGTGAAGAAGATGTTAGCCTCCACTGACCCCCTTCCAGCAGAAGAGCTGGCATCCGGTCAGAGCGTGTTCGGCTTCTGCCCCCCCTTGCCCTCTTGTTCAGAACCTGAATACCCACTGGCCAACCCAGCAGAAGCGCTGGCATCCGGGCAGAGCGCCGCTGGTCTCTGTCCACTGGTTCCCCTCAGCAACCTGGGACATACAGGCCAGAGCCGGACACCAGGAATCACCAGGTGCAGTAATGGTGTATTGTGGGTGGGCTACTCTGTTAAATGTTTATTGTGGGTGGGCTACTCGACTAACTCAGGTACTGACCGACAGAAGGTCAGGTACCTGGTTAGTCTCCCCCCCAGAGGGAAGATGTGTGACGAAGTGCCCTTTGTCACTTGTGCCTGGAGAGGACTAATTGCCAGCCTCCTGCCCTGCGACTATGTCCCCTGGAAGATTTTGCCCTTTAAATACGTTATTTGGGCATAGTGGATTTTATTAGACTGGTTCTGGCCCTTTAAATGCTCTGACAAAGGATCTGCAGTTTTGCTATGCACTTCGGATGCAGAGTGTGAAGAAAACCCCTGTTTTATGGACTTAGTTTGACTGTTTTATCCCCCCCCCCCCCTTAGAACACCAGTTTAAACCCTTAATAACTGTCATATTTTCAAACTCTGTCTGACCCTTTTAACCCGTTAACGCCGTTACGGCGTTCTATGCCGTCCTGCATTAAGTGGGCTTTAAAGCCGTTGCGGTGGCATAGAACGCCGTAACGGCTTCGAGCCCCTGGAGGTCCGCGGTACTCACCTCTGCCGCGTTCCTCTTCTGGAGGGCTGCCTGACAGCCCAGGCAGCCCTCCTCCGGCAAGTGAGGCCCCCGGGGCCCCCTATAGCTGGCTGTGGATCTGCCAGCAGGGGGACTGTCTGACAGTCCCCCTGCTGGTGGGAAAGTACAATTTTTTTCATTAAACATGTTATAAAATAAAATAGAAATGTATTTATATATATATATAATATATGTATATATATTATATATATAATATATATATTATTATATATATGTAACGTCATACAAAGTGTATTTTAATATTAATATAAGTACATATATTAGTATTAAAATACACTTAGAATGACATTACATATATATACAATATATATATATTAAATATATAATAGATATATACACATATATTATATATATATACGTATAATTACAATAATAAATAAATAAAATAATAAAATAAATAAATAAAATATTGAAACAAAATTTAATATAAAATATAGATTCATATGTAATTTCATTCTAACTGTATTTTGTTATTAATATATATTGGTAACAAAATACACTTAGAATGACATTCTATATATATCTATCTATATACAAAATACAAATAACCGCAAATATATATATATATATATATATATATATAAATAGCGAAGGCTTGCACTCCTGGTGTAATCCTGTGGTGCCCGGTGCTGGTCTGGCAAGGATCATGTAGACATAGCAATATAGATATGCCCACCCTATTTGCTACAAGTTTAAGAATAGACTTATAGTTCAGCTCTTTCCTCAGTTACACAGGAACAGATACACCCTTTCAGTGCTGCATTGGATGAATTGCTCCAGCACTCAAAGAGTGAATTTCCAGTATGATAACAGATTTTGGATTCCTGATGGCCCTTCCAGCCTGTTATACTGTTTAAAATATATGAAGACAGTCAGATTCATTTTTGAAACATTCTAGACTCTGTATCCACTCCTACTTTACCCTGAGCTCAATCATGATTGTAGCTACTAGGACACAAAGTGGAAAGCAACCAGTCCAGTTGGATTGTTACTTAGTAACCTGTAGCCCCGCCCCTTTTCTGGGCCTTGCACACATGGCCACCACACTCCGAGATACATTACTCTCTAATGCAGGGCAAGCTGTCTCATGGCTAGGTGAGTACACAATTAAGGTAAATTATTTTGAGGGATTGGGGGTATATATTTCTTTGTGTCTGCACTTGTAAGTTATGTTTTGTCCTGATGAAAGCTCCATGTGGGAGCTGAAACGTTGACTTTTTAAATGGATTGAATAAAAGCTAAATTTTATTTGAAAATCTCTATAAAGTCCTTGGAGTGCGGTCATTTCTGCTATGTCTATATATATATATATATAGATAAATACATATAATTACATAAACGATTACATTAGTATACACGTAGAATTTAAATACCTATAAATGCATATATATTAAAATTCTACATGTATATTTAAGTAATCTTTTAACATAATTATGTGATTTGATTAACTAAAATGTGATTGACATGCCACGAGATTGGCTTGCACAGGGTACCTGAACACCTAAGGCCAACCCTACGTATTTAGATTCTCATTTAAAAGGACACTACAGGGAGTGCAGAATTATTAGGCAAATGAGTATTTTGACCACATCATCCTCTTTATGCATGTTGTCTTACTCCAAGCTGTATAGGCTCGAAAGCCTACTACCAATTAAGCATATTAGGTGATGTGCATCTCTGTAATGAGAAGGGGTGTGGTCTAATGACATCAACACCCTATATCAGGTGTGCATAATTATTAGGCAACTTCCTTTCCTTTGGCAAAATGGGTCAAAAGAAGGACTTGACAGGCTCAGAAAAGTCAAAAATAGTGAGATATCTTGCAGAGGGATGCAGCACTCTTAAAATTGCAAAGCTTCTGAAGCGTGATCATCGAACAATCAAGCGTTTCATTCAAAATAGTCAACAGGGTCGCAAGAAGCGTGTGGAAAAACCAAGGCGCAAAATAACTGCCCATTAACTGAGAAAAGTCAAGCGTGCAGCTGCCACGATGCCACTTGCCACCAGTTTGGCCATATTTCAGAGCTGCAACATCACTGGAGTGCCCAAAAGCACAAGGTGTGCAATACTCAGAGACATGGCCAAGGTAAGAAAGGCTGAAAGACGACCACCACTGAACAAGACACACAAGCTGAAACGTCAAGACTGGGCCAAGAAATATCTCAAGACTGATTTTTCTAAGGTTTTATGGACTGATGAAATGAGAGTGAGTCTTGATGGGCCAGACGGATGGGCCCGTGGCTGGATTGGTAAAGGGCAGAGAGCTCCAGTCCGACTCAGACGCCAGCAAGGTGGAGGTGGAGTACTGGTTTGGGCTGGTATCATCAAAGATGAGCTTGTGGGGCCTTTTCGGGTTGAGGATGGAGTCAAGCTCAACTCCCAGTCCTACTGCCAGTTCCTGGAAGACACCTTCTTCAAGCAGTGGTACAGGAAGAAGTCTGCATCCTTCAAGAAAAACATGATTTTCATGCAGGACAATGCTCCATCACACGCGTCCAAGTACTCCACAGCGTGGCTGGCAAGAAAGGGTATAAAAGAAGAAAATCTAATGACATGGCCTCCTTGTTCACCTGATCTGAACCCCATTGAGAACCTGTGGTCCATCATCAAATGTGAGATTTACAAGGAGGGAAAACAGTACACCTCTCTGAACAGTGTCTGGGAGGCTGTGGTTGCTGCTGCACGCAATGTTGATGGTGAACAGATCAAAACACTGACAGAATCCATGGATGGCAGGCTTTTGAGTGTCCTTGCAAAGAAAGGTGGCTATATTGGTCACTGATTTGTTTTTGTTTTGTTTTTGAATGTCAGAAATGTATATTTGTGAATGTTGAGATGTTATATTGGTTTCACTGGTAATAATAAATAATTGAAATGGGTATATATTTGTTTTTTGTTAAGTTGCCTAATAATTATGCACAGTAATAGTCACCTGCACACACAGATATCCCCCTAACATAGCTATAACTAAAAACAAACTAAAACTACTTCCAAAAATATTCAGCTTTGATATTAATGAGTTTTTTGGGTTCATTGAGAACATGGTTGTTGTTCAATAATAAAATTAATCCTCAAAAATACAACTTGCCTAATAATTCTGCACTCCCTGTATAGTCACCAGAAAAACTATGGCTTAATATACCTGTTCTTGTGTCTACAATATGTCCCTGCACACATTTTAATGTAAAGACTGCCTTTTCTGAGAAATGGTAGTTTTTACATTACTACCTAGTAACACCTCTAGGAAGCACCTCTAGACAACCACTAGAGGTGCTTCCCTAATTATATGGGCTACAAGGCACAGTGTGCAGCACTGACGTTCAGCTTCTCTACGCTCTGCATGGAGACGCTAAACGATCCTCATTGATTCAGTGCATCTCTATGAGAAGATGCTGACTGTCCAGGGCTGCATTTTTCGGCCCATGCACAACAGCCTCCTATAGAAAAGCATTGAATTGGCTGAGATTGTCAAGTTTGATGATCTCAGCCAAAAAGGCGGAGCAGGGGCAGAGTCAGCCACAACAGACCTGTGTGGCGCTGGAAAAAAAGGTGAGCCTAATGGGGGCAAGAAGGGGCCAGGGACTTAAACTGGATTTAAGAGCTATAATGTCAGGAATACGTGTTTATATTCCTGTTAATTTAGTTTTTCTTTAAGTTATTTTTAGCGATGCTTTTCCTCTTTTTCCTTTGCATTTGATTTTTTTTTCTGAGAGGTGGTTAATTAGTAATTAGTTTTGAGCTTCTTCCATTTCATGCTAGAAATGTTGACTTTTTTGCTTCAATAGTACTACTGTAAGTGATGTCATGACGAAAGCTGACAAGTGATTTATGCAAACAGATTCATAAGGACCCCCAATTCATAAATTAATCATTTAGAAGCTATACCAATTTTGTAGATTTTATGTAATATCAGTATGTTTTTTTTTTTTTTTACATTTTACATTTTTAAAGGGATATGGAGTCTGTCTCTATGAAGTATCACAGTGAATTACCTTTTATAAAACATTAATAAAATCATGGTGCACAAAAAACAAGTTTATTAATGTTTAGTTTTATTATTCTTTGATTAACATATTGATGCTATACTTCCAAATGGTTGCTGCACTTTTTTTAAATAATCAGGTCTTTATTGGGTTACCATCAGGTGTTAATTGTACTTTTTAATATTGTTATTTATTTTCCACATTTTGTTCTTACACTTGTGTACGATACTGTATATCGTCACTATTTCAGTGCTTGTATTTACTAGGATTTGTTAAAGTTTTAAAATCCTCAATATACTCTGCTGTCTGACTAATAAAATTAAGGAAGTTGCAGTGAACCTCACCTGGTGGGACAGGGAAACACAATGTCAAAGGTATCAGTGTAAATACATGTCAGCATAAATATAAAAAACAATGGATATAATTAAACATTAAATAAATAAATACACAATGCAGAAGTGAGGAAAAAGTGAAGAACATATTTTTCACAAATCTAATTTATGAGAAACACAGACTTGCATTTGCCAACTATTACATACTATGAGGGGAGTTAAAAGATACACTGGAGCATAGAATGCAGCGCACCCTCATGTCCTTGGCATCCAAAAGCCGTCATAACATCTGATTCAATAATTTGTTTAGTTTGTACAACCGTGCTCAAATGCTAATCTCTTTTTATGTGTCTGGTGACTTCTAGAGTGTCATAATTTAAAGGGACATTATATTCACTAGAACCACAACAGCGTAATGTAGTTGTTCTGTTTTTTTTAGCCTGTCCCTGCAGGCTGAGTACTTGAAAGTGCAGTGTTTACATTGCAGCCTAGGAACACCTCTAGTGACCTTCACTCAGACGGACACTGGAGGTGCTTCAACAAGAAAAGGACATTTTTTTAAAGGGACATTATATTCACTAGAACCACAACAGCTTAATGTAGTTGTTCTGGTGTTTATAGCCTGTCCCTGCAGGCTGAGTATTTGAAACGCTGCCTTTTCAGAGAAAATGCAGTGTTTACATTGCATCCTAGGAACACCTCTAGTGACCTTCACTCAGACGGACACTGGAGGTGCTTCCCTAATGATATGGGCTACAAGGCAGAATAGTGTTAACTTATATGGAAGCCTAAATATCAGAAATAATCTGGTCTGTTTTCACGCTAGAGTCATTCTCCAACAAAATGTTCCCTGATTCTGTTCCAAACATCTGGTCTGCTTAATATATTGTATATTTATGCACTTCCTTTTAACATTGAGGCATTGTAATGACATATAAACTTCTGCATACTTTAAGAAGGCATTTAGAGCTTTAACGATCTCATGCTGTCACTTACAGCATCACAGGGTGCTCGGTTTTACTTAGTGTTTCTATCAATACATTGTAAATAGGCTTCGAGAGGCTTATCAGAATTTGGACCACATGGGTGATCGTCTTGAATTCCTGAACTTCAAAACGAAATGTAGCCAAATCCTGAACCAAACAAAATATGCAATGGACGAGCATGTTCGTTTAGATTTGTGATTTCAAATTCCACCCATGGCACCAAAAAAAAAGGATGACTGATGAGAAGATAGATGATTGATGGCTAGAGGACAGTTACTAAATGTTGATTGTATTCACAGATCAAGTGAGAAGAAACTAATAGAGGTAAGAAAAAAGGTAGATTGCTATATTATATATTTAATAAACATATAATATGTACATATACAAAAATAGATTTTATACATATCAGGTAGTATTACTTTACAAATTACTTGCCCCCATGGCAACTCCAAGTGAATGACCGATCCATACACCAACAGGGTGTTATAGAAGCTTGTCAAGTAAGTGTGGCTTTGGTCTGGAACCCTATTTAAACTTAGAACAGCTAAACTTTCATTGCTCAGTTGTTCTGTGCTACTTACCTCTTATTACCGGTGTCTCCTCTTTTCTAGAATTCCTGATTTACCTGACCTTGGCTTGCCTCACCATTGTTGAACCTTTGCTGCCTGCATATTTGGCCATTGGATTGCCTGACATTGATTCTGCCTTTCCCATATTGGATTTGTTTGCCTCAGACTTTTTGGTTTATTTTTTCTGTGCCAGTACAAGTACTGCATTTTGAGTTTCATACGATCACACCTGACACAAACATACTAAATTCTAAAATCATTCCACATTGAAATTGTATTTTACTTATTGTAATTTGTAACCTTTGAAACCTGGAACTGAAATCCAAGACATATGATGTGACTTGTAGCTCAGGACAAATAAGTGAATTTGCTTTAATTAGTTTTCTTAAACTGCACTATTTAGGTACATATTATTGCCAAAACTGTGAAAAACACAATTTTTTTTGCATTTCTGTTTAAAAAAAAAAAAAATATATCAAAGGGACACTATAGTCACCAAAACAACTTGAGCTTAATTAAGCAATTTTGGTGTACCGATCATACCCCTGCAATCTCACTGCTTCATGCTCTGCCATTTATGAGTTAAATCACTTTGTTTACACAGCCCAGCCACACCTCCCTGTATGTGACTTACACAGCCTTCCTAAACACTTCCTGTAAAGAGTGATCTAATGTTTAAACTTCCTTTATTGTAAATTATGTTTAATTTAGAATTTCTTATCTCAGGCTCTGTTAATAGCTTGAAAGACCCTGCAGGAGCCCTCTATGTGTAATTAAAATTGATTTACAGAGCAGGAGACTTTCATTAAGGAGAGCAAAAAATGGGGCGCAAGAGTATAGTGAGAATGGACAGCAGCTGAAATAGTGGGTCCCTGCTCAGGTCTCAACCTGGTTTTAGCTCATCTTGTGACATTACAGAGAGAACATCTCTGAAACATATCAGACTGGTCCCACCTATACAGGCAGTCCAGATCCGAAATGCCAGCAAGTTCCCTCTGCACGAGAGACACAGCAACCCTAGATGATCGTTTCAGCCTTGTTACGCATCATCAGTGAGGTATAGCTGAAATCTTTCTAGGCACCTTTTCATTAAGGTTGTGTCAGTCACAGCCAGGGGAGATGTGGCTAGTGATGCATAAACAGAAACAAAAGTGATTAACTCCTAATTGGCAGAGAATGGAGCAGTTAAAGTTCAGAGGCATTATTTATACACAAAAACTGCTTCATTAAGCTAAAGTTGTTTTTATGACGATAGTGTCCCTTTAAAGGACCACTATAGTGCCAGGAAAACATACTCGTTTTCCTGGCACTATAGTGCCCTGAGGGTGCCCCCACCCTCAGGGTCCCTCTCCCGCCCGGCTCTGGAAAGGGGAAAGGGTTTTAATCTTACCTTTTTCCAGCGCTGGGCGGGGAGCTCTCCTCCTCCGATCCTCCTCCGTTCCTCCTCCTGTGTAGAATGCGCACGCGCGGCAAGAGCTGCGCGCGCATTCAGCCTGTCGCATAGGAAAGCATTTACAATGCTTTCCTATGGACGCTTGCGTGCTCTCACTGTGAAAATCACAGTGAGAAGCACGCAAGCGCCTCTAGTGGCTGTCAATGAGACAGCCACTAGAGGATTAGGGGGAAGGCTTAACCCATTCATAAACATAGCAGTTTCTCTGAAACTGCTATGTTTATAAAAAAAATGGGTTAACCCTAGAAGGACCTGGCACCCAGACCACTTCATTAAGCTGAAGTGGTCTGGGTGCCTAGAGTGATCCTTTAAACTTATTTTTTATTCTTCCAGGAGCATATTATAACCTAAAATGTCTACATATTTTTGCCATTATTGAATATGAACAGACATTAAAGGGACACTATGGGCACCCAGTCCTTTTTGTTTTAATAAAGTGGTGTGGGTGTCATGACCCCCTCTTGCAGAATGGCAATGTTTTCCTTGCAGGGTTTAAATGCCTCTAGTGGTTGTCTTCCTGACAACCACTAGAGACACTTCTGTAGAAAAAGATAAATAGAATTTGGCAATTTCAATCCGATAGTCTAATAAAGAACCTATAATTGGTGCAGCACAGTGTTTTTGCTGCACATGCACATTAGTCTCATAAAGCTTACCGATGGGAAAGTACTGTATTAGCGGAGATTATTGATCTTAACGATCTCAGCCAAGAAGGCATGCCAGCAGGACGGAGACAAGTGTGGGGAGGGTATTAGATGTTGAGTAAATCTCACCTACCTTTGCTAGATTAAAACTATAGTGATAGGAATACACATTTATATTCCTAATGCAGTAGTGTAATGTTTCTTTAAGTAGAAATATAATGCACAGTCGGATTTTTAGTTTTCAGTATATTGTTTTGGCATACCTGCCTTAAATAATGTATATATACCCCATACCTTGTGTTTATTTAAATTAGAGCATCTTTCTATGCACGTTCATAAATGCTGATGGGAATTATGCCTCTGCTGTTTCTTTCTGTTTTGCAGAAGGAATAATCTCATGCTGAATCATGATTAGTTAGTATTCAGTTTACAGCACAAGAACAAGTACTAGTCACCATATTCCGTAGCAATTACCTGCTATTCACATTTCTAGCTGAAGGGAAATCAGTCATAGAGTGCTGATGGATGTTATGTAACAGCATATTGGTATATTCATATACAATATTCTACCTACAATAATATTTCCACTGACATTGGAACCAGGTTAACAGCAAAAAGCATCATACATGTGAAAATTCCATTACCTGAAAATTTTATAACATGGTTAGTGTCATTATATAGTATTTTTTTAGAATTAAACATTTGGAAAGCTATTCAACTGTCTTAGTGTTGTACATTGTGCTACCTACAATGAAATAGGGAGTCAGTGCACCTTAGTCCTACCTGTTAAACTTGTGCACGGAGACAAAATTTGTCTCTACTGAACCATTTTCCCTGAAAATATAATATATTTTGGGACATTCTGGCCAATGGTGATTCGGCTCAGCAAAATTTCAGAACCGAGATTCGGATTTGGACAGCAAATTAGGAAAATAAAAAAATGCACACAAATAGGCCAATCAGTGTGCTGCAAAAAATATATACATAATATGATATTATGTATACAGGGCCGGTGCAAGAATTTCTGCCGCCCTAGGCAAAGATCCATTTTGCCGCCCCCTCATGTCAATCACTCACTGACAGACACACACACTCACAGACACTTACTGACAGACATACACTCATTCACTGACAGACTGACACACTCACAGTGAAGATTTTTCGCACAGAGTGCCCAAAGGCCTAAGGCCGGCCTTGCGTGACTGTAACCATTTCCCTTTTCTCTAATGTATCATAGTCCACATATGTGGTAATAGTGAATCTGACTACATGGGACATAGAGCTGAGATGGAACTTTAAAAAAAATTAGGGACTACATCCTCCTACTCTGACTTCATACATGAAGTCCTGCATTATTTTCTATAATCCTGAAGGTGATGATTATCAGCTAGTTAAGTTCATGTGTTATTAGATTGAGATTCTTTTTTAGCAGAGCCTGTCAGTCCACTGGTGTCCCTCCACACTCCCTTCAAGGCTCACTTACCTGATCTGTAGGCTGCCCCCTGTGCCTCACTTACCTAATCTGTAAACTGCCACCTCCATGCCTCACTTACCTAACCTGTAAGCTGCCCCCCATGCCTCACTTACCTGATCAGTAGGTTGCCCCCATGCCTCACTTAACTGATCTGTAGTCTGCCCCCCATGCCTCACTTACCTAATCTGTAGGCTGCCCTTCCATGCCTCACTTACTTAATCTGTAAACTGCCCCTCCATGCCTCATTTACCTGATCTGTAGTCCGCCCCATGCCTCACTTACCTGATCTGTAGGCTGCCCCCCCATGCCTCACTTACCTGATCTGTAGGCTGCCCTCCCATGCCTCACTTACCTGATCTGTAGGCTGCCCTCCCATGCCTCTGATCTATAGTCTGCCTCCCCCATGCCTCACTTACCTAATCTATAGGCTGCTTCCCCCATGCCTCGCTTACCTGACCTGTAGTCTGCTCCCCATGCCTCACTTACCTGATCTATAGTCTGCCTCCCCCATGCCTCACTTACCTAATCTATAGGCTGCTTCCCCCATGCCTCGCTTACCTGATCTGTAGTCTGCTCCCCATGCCTCACTTACCTGATCTATAGTCTGCCTCCCCCCATGCCTCACTTACTTAATCTGTAGGCTGCCCCCCATGCCTCACTTACCTGATCTGTAGGCTGACCCTTCCCCATACCTCACTTACCTGATCTGTAGGCTGCCTCCCCACCCCTCTCTTACCTGATCTGTAGGCTGCCTCCCCACCCCTCTCTTACCTGATCTGTAGACTGCCACCTATGCCACACTTACATGACTTGTAAGCTGTCTCTGCAGTCTGGGAGTTGCTGGCTGCACTCTGTGCTGCTCCCCTGCAGATTCAGTCAGGAGAGAGAAGCAGGGATAAGATGTAGCTTCCTATCCCTGCCTTTTTCCTACTGGCCAAAGCCGGTATTGCAGTGTATTCTCAATCTCAAAAAAAAAAATACCAGCACAATACCCCCTTGCCCCCTCCTGTGGACGTCCATGCTCACACACAAATTTTATACTCATGTTATCTCACACACTCCAGCTCTCCCAAAGACATTTTTATAGGTCCTCCTGTCTTTGGGAGAGCTGGAGTGGATCCATTTCCTGTGGCCAATGAGGAGCAACCCTGATCCAAGTGTGAGGCATGACTATAGGGGTAGCGAAGGAGCTGTGGAGGTACACACATACACATATTCCCACTATCTATAAATCCATTGACAATTTCAAATAGAAACATTTGCAGTTATTGCTTTATTATATTTTTCATTTCTAAAAAGGCCTTGATTTCATATTTTTGAATAACTTTTCCAATGAATTAATATTTTTGATAAACTTCAAATAATTGTTAGAAAATATTAAAATAATAAAAATAGATCACAAAGAAAACATTTATCAATATGTAAAAAAAATTAAAATCTAAAAAATATTTTTCAAAATATTAAATCATTTGAAATGTTTATACAAAAATATTAAAGCATTTTACAAGCTTATCCAAAAATATTAAATTAAGGCCATAATGAGATGTATGCAAAATATGTGTCTGTTGTTAAGTGTAAAGAATCTTATTATGTGCAGTAGATAAGACTCAAGAAATAACAAAACTCAACTGTATGGAGGCAACAATTGTTAAAGAATTAATGAGGTCTCCAGCTAAGATGAGGCTCATATAATTTAATTAATGAGTATCCTGGGAAAAAGGGTTACAACTAAAATCATAATTTTCTATGTAAAGAAGGACACCAGCTGAACAAATTAGAAATGTACATCTGTAACTAAAATTGCATTAAAAAAAAAAAAAAAGTTAGATTTTTTTTGTGTGTGTTATTTAAAAGAAAGAAATATTAAAATTTTAAGCTGGTAATCAGACAAAATGGAGATTTATTGTAAATATTTAGCTCTATGCATTTTGATATTGTGATTAGTGGAAATGTGCTGATTAATTTGTATATTTAATAGTTTACTTGCCTGTGATGTTTCCACCAGGGAAATGACTGCTTTGTAATCATTACACGTAAAAGAGACTGATAATACACAACTGTACATTTGGATCTGCATATTTCTCTTAACATATTCATGTTAGCTTTGCACTGTATTGCATGGCTTAATTTACAGAAAAATGTATATAAAATAAAAGAAAATGCACTTACTTCAACATTTTTTCAAGGCTATAACAAATGTTACTAACCAAGCAGCAAGGCTCAATGTTTTCAGTGTAATCTGGAACAACCTCAAAATGTAGGCTGGGAGGGCTCAGCGCAAGTATGAATACATATTGGCAGGAAAGTAACAAACACACTGAAATTCAGGTGAAAAAGATGTTGGAAATCACAAGACTTCTTCTTGCAATCACCAACTGTAGCCAGACTGCAACCACAGAGTGCAATTGCAGTATGGCTACGGTTGGTGATTAAATCAGCAGGCCAGATAAAGATGTATGGCATATTTAGTCAATTTTATATTTTATATTTTTTATAGATAACATTTTCAAATTCTGCTGACATTTGGGCAATCTGCTTTGCCAAGTACACCATAAAATCCCTTACAGAGAGGGCCTGCTCATCCATAGACCGCCTGGAGCCACAGCTCCAGGAGGCACTCTGACAGGGGCGGCATTATGCAGCCCCTGTCATAATCTAAAACAGGATTTCCAAACCCTTGGCGGCGGTGCAGCGGTTTGGAACCTGTGTGAGGATCCATCGGGTGGCCCATGACCTTAGGGCCACCCGAAGGACATGTGCAATGAGAGACCCGGTTGTGCGCTGCGGCGCTTTAACAGCGCAACCAGGTCCCTTCCTATCAGCATGGAGAGCTGGAAGGAAGTGACAGCATATCGCCAGCAGAAGCTAAGAACCTGCTGGGTGTGTCATACAGTTGCACAGACACACTGATACAAGTACAGATAAACAGACACTGTATCTTTGTATTATATGATATATTCAATGTATGCTTTTAAGATAAGTGATTTTTAATAGGTTCACTTTAAAACACTTTAAACAAACATACTTAAATGCATTATAGCATCAGTAGAATCTGTTCAACCCTTGGGTTGCAGGTTTAGATCCTGGCAGAGTTGACTCAGGTAGATAATATTAGTACCATTAAATTGGGTAATAGTAATAACCTCTGGATGTTGAGCTAATGTAACATCCCCAGGATGTACTTGACAACCAGAGTAATCCGAATGTACCTTTCCTGGTAAAACACTTTATTATTAAAAAAAAATTCACCTTGGAACAGCCTCATCCACAATCGTAACAGATCATTATTTCATAGTAAACAATTGAAGTTTTTTTCAGAGTTTTTATGTTGGCACCAAAATTAATTTCTTTTTCACACTTAGCAGATGAACTTGATACAGTGTTGCTTTATGAATCTCAGTGCAGCCTGTTTGCACACATCTAGGTAACCGTGAGACAATATTATTTCTGCAAGTACACATTGCCATGGGAATTCGCAAGTTCCTGCAGCAATACTGGGAGAGACAAATGTATCTGACAAGAAAACCTCTAACAATTAAGTAATCGTCATAGGAATTACAAGTTTATGCCGTTTCTACTGGTTTCCTTAGCAACTACTTTACAAATGCAATACAAGATAGCTCCCTAATTTGCTATCATGTGTATATTACAAACGTTCTCTATCTATATTGCGCATATCACACACATTCTATATGCATATCATCATTCTATATGCATGCAGCACATACATTCTACATACATGTAGTACATACATTCTATATACATTGTATATGCAGCACATCCATCCTATATGCATGCAGCATTCTATATACATTCTATATACAGCACATACATTCTCTTCTGAATTGTCAGATCGGAGGAAATTCGATTTGTCATGGAACCAATTGCACAAGTCTAGTCAAAATATGAAAGACTGAAATAGTTTTGCATCGTACGTGTAACCATCCTTATGGTATGTAATTCAGACTGGGTTTTTTGCCTTATTTTGGATCAACCGCAAAAACATATGTGAGGAAGGCTGAACTTGATGGACGCAAGTCTCTTTTCAGCCTAAAAATGAATATAGCAGTCTTTTCAAACTATGTATATATTAAATGCAACCCTTCAAATATAGATATTTCAATTGTTCTTCTATATGATGTAGGTAATAAATGAATAAATTAAGTAAATAAATATATATAATCAAATTATTTGAAAAGTAATCCAGCATGGAAATTATGATGTTTTTCTTAGTATCACTAATTACATGTTTAATTTATAACTAAAATTCAAGTTCAATTATAAAAATATTAAAAGCTAACAGATCTTTCATATTTTTATTATAAAAATGGCTGATACAAGAATATAGTAAAAAAAATAAAAATACAAGAACACACTATATAAATATTTTTGGTTAAAGTAATGTCTTCTGTTTACTTCTAGATACCAGATACACACAGGTCTTCAGCATTCCATAATACGGCCTTCACAACCCAACTGCCTGCCATTGGACAATGTGACTCTACCTCAAAAGCTAAAGAATGCTGGCTACGCAACGCACATGGTTGGAAAATGGCACCTAGGATTTTACCGGAAGGAATGTATGCCTACGCAAAGGGGATTTGATTCTTTTTTTGGTTCACTTCTGGGCAGTGGAGATTACTATAATCATTACAAGTGCGACAGCCCTGGAATATGTGGATATGATCTATATGAGAATGATAATGCAGCTTGGGAACATGACAATGGTATTTATTCAACAGAAATGTATACTCAAAGAGTGCAACACATCTTGGCCATGCACAACCCTAAGAAACCAATTTTCCTTTATGTTGCTTATCAAGCTGTTCATTCTCCTTTGCAAGCTCCAGGAAATTATGTAGATCACTATAGGTCAATAACCAATGAAAACAGGAGACGATATGCTGCCATGTTGTCATGTTTGGATGATGCTGTTAATAATGTAACCATTGCCTTAAAAAAGTATGGCTTCTATGAAAACAGTGTGATCATCTATTCATCAGATAATGGTGGGCAACCAATGGCTGGAGGTAATAATTGGCCTTTACGTGGGAGCAAAGGCACATATTGGGAAGGAGGAATACGTGCTGTCGGTTTTGTACATAGCCCCTTTTTGAGAAACAAAGGCTATGTGTGTAGGGAACTGATACACATAACAGATTGGTTCCCAACCTTGGTCACATTAGCTGAAGGAGAAATTGATGAAGGCATCCACCTGGATGGTTATGACATATGGGAGACTATAAGTGAAGGAAAGCGTTCCCCAAGAGTGGACATCCTGCATAACATTGACCCTATGTACACCAAGGCAAGAAATGGTTCCTGGGCAGCTGGTTTTGGTATTTGGAATACAGCAATCCAGTCAGCAATTAGAACCAAAGATTGGAAATTACTTACAGGAAACCCTGGTTATGGAGACTGGATTCCTCCTCAAAGTTTTATTAATATGGGACCAAACCGTTTCCACAATGAGCGGGTGACTTTATATAATGGAAAATCCATATGGCTTTTTAATATAACAGCTGATCCATACGAAAGATTTGATTTGTCTGACAAATATCCAGATATTGTAAAGCAGCTGTTAAGAAGACTTGCACAGTATAATAAAACTGCTGTTCCAGTGAGATACCCACCAAAAGATCCAAGAAGCAACCCAAAGCTAAATGGAGGAGTTTGGGGTCCATGGTACAAAGACAAGAAAAAGAAGTCAAATACAAAGAAATCTAAGAACAAGTCCAAAAAGAAACCCAAGCATCGGAAACAACAATATTCCGGCTGCCGCCCACCACCAACCGATTCATAATGGACAAACTTGTGTCAGGCAATACTGTGTTTAAATAACTTATGCGACATTTGTAGAAGTCTAATGGCAACCCAATGCAATCATTTTCCAGTGTAACATTGCAAATAGGGGTTTCACAAAGATACCACTGTCATAACAAGCACAATGATAATTAGGTCAAGATATCATTGTTGATAGTTAATCAATTGTTTCTACACCATTATTTGCCTGTTGTGCATTATGCTTCAATACACATAGTGATCTATTTGTCAAGGGAAATCTAGAACACATCTAGAACACATCGTGGGTTAATTATTAAATCTGAGCAATCGGGTGTGTGATCAAAAAAGAAACACATTGCTCATTATTTGTCTTGAAATACTTTTTGAAAACACACTCAGTCATGTTAAATTGTGGAAATAAACCACAGATATTGCACAAAGGCAACTGACAATTTCTAAACCATTTTTTCTGTACGTTAGCTAATCTGTGACTACACTTTGCAGAGTAGTTTCATTTACCAAATGTGACTTTATATTTAAACGGAAAACACAGTGTATTAGCTGATAGTAATAGTTTGTTCATGTTTATATCCATCCAATATTTAAGACAAACACAATTTCAATGTGCAATACCTGGCAACTCAGTGTAGAGGATAAGACATTTTATGTAGTCACAATACATATTAGTAAGTCATTTCAATGTAGTTCTGACACTGTATATGAAAATTGCACTATATTGTTACTCCTTTTGTAAAACAAAATTTAAAAAGTGATTTTAGGGATTTCTTTAAAATTGAACCTATTTTATCTTAATATGAACTGTCCTGTACTGGTGCAAAAGGGATGTGTGGAAGTGAGACACTGTTATTGCTTAGTAATATAAAAATAAAATAGTTTTTCCTAAAGCCCTCTTTACAAAATATATGTTTTCAAAGAAATGCTACAAACATCATAACCACTATGGCCCTCTGTAGTGGTTATTGTGCCAGGAGAGCCCTTGTTGCCATGCCAGAGCTAGTAGTCAAACCATTTCAGATTAGTTTGACAAGTTACCTGGCATCTACCAGGTGACTGTTCCTGTAGTCATTAGCTTAACTGCGTTACTCTTCAGTTGTCAGCTTCACTGGGCAGGGCCTGCTCTTTGGTCGGTCTTTCAGTTGTAAGGAAAATGGAGGTCCATCTCCCAGAAATGCATGTCTCCTCTGAGCTGCCTTCGGTGTAACCCTTTCAACAAACAAGCTCTGTAAGAACCTGCCTAGCCTGGGTTGACTTTGTATGCAGCCCATCAATCAATAACGCAGCCAATGAGCACCTGTGCAAAGTTTGCCATCTTACCTGGTCATGCCATCTTGCTGGCTGGAATGCCAATACTGCTGGAGGCCGATTCTGTCAGTCATTCACTGGCTGAGAGCCTCATCTAGCCACTCTCAACCAATGAATGAAACTCTGTGCATATAAATATACACACAATTGACATTAGCCAGACCAGAACACGTGTTTTGGATTGGTTAATGATGCCCCAATAATGCTGCCAGCAATAGGTTTAAACTCTGTATATGCAGAGTTTCATTGTGAAACACTGCAAATACAGATTTCAGGCAGCAGGATTACTTCAAATCACTGAAGTGATCATGGTGCTTTTAGTAACCCTTTAAGGACTTGAGCTAGTGGTGGAGACAGGCACACGTTCATATCCACTTGATACATTTTAATCACGGCCAGTTATCAAAGCTTAAAAAAATTGGACGGGCATTATAAATCAGCTCATGCAAGCAGTTTACTTACTGCAAATTTCTTCGAATTGCCATTTTTCTTTTTAACCCAAGCAGATAGAACTACAAAAGACATCAATTATATTTACAAAAATAACAATAAAAAGTTCCCCAAACAAATTACCTCAAAATGTGATACAAAAAGTGAACACTTAACACAAAATGTCAGGTTGCTTTTCCCAGTCCTGATAAAGTTCAATTATTTTTAATGTGTTCAAGCAGTGGTGTCTCACAAGTCTGCCGATTACATGGTGTTCTAGGGAAATTAGAATCTGAAACAAATAGCCATGTTCGATGGTTACACCTTACCTGCACAGATAGTGATGTGGATTTGGATTGAGCTTTTGAATATATAGCAGTACATTATCTGCATACACTACTGTTATCTGTTTCATATAAAAAGGGTTATATACAGGGTTACATACAGATAGAATATGGAGATAGAACGCAGAGAATCTCATTGCATTGATTTTACTGGGATATTCCCTTTCTGTCCGATGTCTAAGTTTGCATTCTTATGACTTGAGTTTCCAGGCCTCTAGGCCTGTTCATTCACATATAACAGAAACCACATGTTTCCTATTATATTCATAAGGGTACAGAAAGCATTTACGTTTCAAGCAGTGCCAAAATAAATGTCATATGCAACATGTAGAGAGAGAACACTATAAATCATATTTTTTTCCGCATCAGCTGTTGTTAAATAATAATCTTTCCGCATTGGAGCAAATTTTGTATTTTCCAGAGGATGTTTATAGTGCAGATGAGACTTTTAAAGATATAGAGGGGTAAAAGGAAATGAAATGTATATTTTTGAATACACGTTTTATAGAACGTACACTAGATTTTGTTCCCCAGGTAGGAAAGTAATAAACAGGGATGCTTGAGCACAAAGGAAAGTTCTTTTATAGCTCTTTTACCTACTGGAGATTGGCATTAACATCAAATGGGTCATCTAGGAAGTGCCCCCAAAATACCAGTTTGTTGTGTTTCCAAGTATGAAACATGGCTCATGTTTAATTAATATGTAAGGGTACATTCTAAGCAGTCAACTTGGAGGTTAATGATCAGGTGCATCGATTCTCCATGTTAATCGGTGTTTCAAATTATCAACATTTTCCGTTTTATATATATATATATATTTCGTTTGCTCCCAGTAGTCATCTTAAGGAATGCTGGTTGGATTAGCTTTAATATTGTTCATGATATACCAAATAGTAGCCTTGTCCACCCTGCCTAGACATGGTATCTAGTATTCTAACCATCTGAAATTTTGAATAATGGACAGTGATGGTTACCATTGCATCTAAATAGAACACAAATGTTGCCATTTTTATAAAAGAAAAACAGTGGGGAGGAATTATTTGTACTGTAAATGTATTATTTATGTACATCTTAAATGGATTTATTTTTCTTGATTATTAAATTGGTGCTTGTAATTTATAATAAAGTAGTATTTTTTGTTGTGAGTATATCAGTAAAGAATAGCTGAAAAGTCTGTCAATGACAATTGTAAGGTTCTTCTATACACTGATTAGCAACATGAAGTGAATAACATTGGTTATATTGTTACAAGAGTTTAAGAGGTGGGATATATTAGACAGCAAGTAAACAGTCCGTTCCTAAAATCCATGTGTTGGATGCAGGAAAAATGGCCAAGCGCAAAGATCTGAATGACTTTGACAAGGGCCAAATAGTGATGGCTAGGTGACTGGGTCAGAACATCTCAAAAACGGCAAGTCTTTTAGGGTGTTCCCAGTATGCAGTTGTTAGTACCTACCAAAAGTGGTAGAAGGAAGGACAACCGGTATGTGTAGACCTCATCGACTTAGCCTCCATACACCCACACAACGGTTAGTAATATTCCCTACGCCGAGGCACATAACCACTCACGGCCGGAATCACCACAGGCCGGTCACCCATTTACGCACCCCCCCCCCAGCCAGAACCCTATAGACACAAACAGACACACTCACACAAGGGGTTGGGGGTAGTCCCCAATAGGGGACGTGTACCAGCCAGAGGCAACCCACATCTGCAGTTACAGCCTCCCTCCCATACTGGGGACTCGACAGACAGACAAACTAGGGAGACACAACAGACCCCATACCATACACCCAAAATCTCGACTTGTAGGTCAATACCCTAGAACACACACAACACTACACATGCCTGATCCGCACTCCAGGACAACACATTCACCAACTCCCTCTGGACCAGACATGCCCGGCTTGATACCTGACACCACGACGATAAAATAATTAAAATGTGCAATGTTTACTAATGCCAACCTAATGATGAAAATTGTTGCTAAATATGCCTATGTTTGCTGTTGTGGCACTGTGGGCACTTGTGTTAATTCTGCACAATAAAATAAAGAATTAAAAAAAAAAAATCCAATGAAATAGATATAGTAAATGGAAATAAATAAATAAATAGATAATAAAACAGTACAAGTTCAAATCTGGGCAAAAAGACCAATAAAATATCGGGAGCTTATATATGTGTAAAAAGCAATACAAATAAATCAATACATTTGTGATGTAGGAGGAGCAAATATAGTTCACATAATATCATTGAATTAAGTCCATAGTAAGTATGTCCTTTCAGTTTGATAATTACATAGCTGAAAAGAGACATGCGTTTATCAAGTTCAGCTTTTCTCACATTTCTTTTTACTGTTGATCCAAAAGAAGGCAAAATACCCAATCTGAAGTGGATCCAATTTTACAACAACCTTGCAAAAAAATATTTTCCTTGACCCCAGAATGGCAGTCAGATATATCCTTGGATCAAGAAGCTATTAACCCACTAATTAAAAACTATATTCCTGTATATCTGTTTATTTTTGAAATTGCCAAGTATTTCCAATTTCTGTTTAAACATCTGTACAGACTCTGATAAAACCATCTTTTCAGGCTGAGAATTCCACATCCTTATTGTTCTCATTGTAAAAAACCCTTTCCTTTGCCTTAGACTAAATCTCTTTTCTTCTAATCTAAATGTGTGACCTCTTGTCCTATGTATAGTCCTGATTATGAACAGATACCCAGATTATGAATTCTATTGGCCTAAAATATATTTGTGTTATGCCATCATATTCATTATACATTTTTAACCTTTCTTTATAACTAAAATTCTCCATTCCTTTTATTAATTTTGTAGCTTGTCTCTGCACTTTTTCTAGTGCCATAATATCCTTCTTTAGAACAGGTGCTCAAAATTGCACAGCATATTGTGGTCTTACCATTGATTTATAAAGAGGCAAAATTATATTCTCACCCCGGTAATTAATGCCCTTTATTATATATGACAATACCTTACTAGCCATAGAAACTGCTATAAAGTTTCAAGTATACAAAGCAATGTGACAAAAAGTGCTAGGTGCTACAAACGTTAAGATCAAAGCACACTTTGCTGTACCCTGTAGGAGGAATAAATACTGGTAGACATAATATCCACAATAGTAGGGCTCACCTTAGACCATGAGCCAGGTAGTGAAATCAGGACATAATAATGCCATATATCTGTAAAACATAAAAGAAAAAAAAAGTGTTCTCCATGAAATGCTTTATTTATAATAATTGAAATAGATTAAGAACACTCACAATAATCCTGCTAAAATGTAACCTCTCAGGGATCGCAGTCCGTACAAAAGTCCTGCTGCAAGCTTTTTTCCTTCAGTACCGGCCGGGAATTGAGAAAGGATGGTGGGTGAGCAGCCACTCCTGCCTGGAATTCGGTCTCACTGCCGTGACCTCAATCTACTGAACGGACTCCAATGAACGGATGAAAGATTGTAGCTAAGCAACAAACTCCTTGCCTTACTTCCTTGACTCATCGGGTCACTTCATCAGAGGCTAGAGTTCGAAAACCTCCTATACATAACAGAAGGCTGGAATTGGTATATCAAGGGCTAATTGGCCATTGAATAAAATAATTGCACAGAAATAAATGATTTTGTAAGAAACATTTATAAATAAACATAAAAAGGTGACACTGCCAAAACAATAATAAACATCCAAATGAATAAGGAATACTATGCAAATGGCATTAAAGACACACCGCTATATTATCAATAGCAGAATTGTGATTCTTGGATCTCACAAAAATGGTTAAAAAGTGGGGGGGATTCTGAATATTGAACAGTAATCCAGATAAAAGTATAAAATACACAGAAAGTGTGGAATAAGGGAAAGACAATACTTATAATGAAATAAAATAAAGATTAACAAATTAAAGATAAATAAAATAAATTGAATTAATAAATATAAACATAGAAATAAATCTCATTTAACAAACAGCACAACAGGTTTTAATTAAGATGTATATCAGAAACACCATAACAAACGAGGAAACCCAGAAAAATGTAGTTCATAGTATAAGTAAAAAAAACATAATTGCCAAAAGCAGATATTCACGAAAATAAAGATCATATTTAAGACAGATCTGCTAAAAAGACAAAGAAAATTAGATAAAATTTGAAATATATTGGCAATGCTTCTGATAAAACCAGTTGACAGAATGCAGATTTTAAAATATGGATCTAAAACACCAAAACCTATGGGAAAAAGAATGGGGTGGGGGGAGTGTATACCCCAAAACATATATAGACACATATATACTTGTTAGATTCCTAAACAAAATATTTACCACAAAATCCACATTCAGACCCCCAGGTTTCAATACGTGCAATTAAAAATCCCCAAGGTTTCCATTTTCAATATCACCTCCTCTCCAATGGGGGGGGGGGATACTACTACTTACCCATAAATGTAAGACCTGAGGGATCTTTATTGTGTAGCAAGCTGAAATATCTAGAGAGATTGCGTGACAAAGCCCCTTCTTAATGTTTCTAAGGTGTTAACCTATATTGATTTTCTAAGTCCTTTTGCAACTTACCACATATCATTTATTGCAGGTACATTCTACTAAATAAATCACACCAGAATAATTTCTGTTAATATGGGCTTTTACTTTATAATTCATCTCTTGTCTGCTGTCAGACAAATCTTCTCTTAGAGGGTAGATATTTGGTATGCCTACCCCCATATCTCACTTTTGGTAGGATTTGTTTCTTCCTTACCTTATACACATTTCAGTGGAAAAAGGTTATCTGATCTCTCTGATGTCAGGTGGATGGCCAGGTGGGTGTGCGCTATTTACCTGGTTAAGAGATGGCAGCAGGATGCATTATGGGAAGAAGGCAGACTAGTGGATGCAGTGTTATGCTCTGAGGTATATTCTGCTTGGGTCCTGGCATTCATGTAGATGTCACTTTGGCAAGTACCAACTGCCTAGAGATTAATGCAAACCACATACACCCCTTCATGGCAATGGTATTCTCTGAAGGCAGTGGCCTCCTTCAGCAGAGTAATGCACCATGCCACACTGCAAAAACTGTTCAGGAATGGTTTGAGGAACATGAAAAAGATTTCAAGGTGTTGCCTTGGACTTCAAGTTACCCAAATCTCAAACCAGTTTTAGAGAAACTGCAATGAACACATTGCAGGACTAAGACTGCCTCTAGTGGCTATCAATCAGGGAGATTGTCACTGGAATCTGGGTTTTAACTCTTTCAAAGTCAGGGGGCTGCAAGGGGGAAGGAGGCAGGCTATTGAATCCCTTTAATGAGGTACTGATTAGGTGATCACCTGAACCAAATCTTACTTGAACAGTACAAAAAACAACTGCAGTAGTCAGCACTATTGTCTTTCATTAGGACGAGCTGAATGGGAAACACAGTTCTAGTAGTACATCATAAGTACTGACCATGCAAATACAATGGGAAAACAGGTTTTGAATGAATTCAAAAAGGATTCCATTCTGTATTTTTACTGGTAAAGGGATACAGTGAGCAAAAGGTTGCTAACTTAAAATGTCAAAGAAGGCATTCATAAGAGCAAGATAAAGCATCAGGCATTGGGATAATATAGCTACACACCAGCAAAGGGTAAATACAACTCTCTACTGACTGGGATGACTGACAACGCATTCAAATGTCAATCAACAACTGAAGGATGATATCAAGTGACCTACAAAAAGAATGGCAAGTGGCAGCTGGGTGAAGTGCACAGAAAGAACGGTTTCAAACAGTCTCCTAAGGGTAGGGTTTAAGTATTGCAAAGCTAGAAAAAGCCCTTCATCAACTAGAAGCAAATAACAGCCATGCTGAGATTTGCAAAAAGCCATAAGGATTGGACTATTGAGGACTGGAGCAAGGTCATCTTCTCTTATGAGTCCAGTTTCCAGCTTTGCCGAACCATTGATCATTTTATGGCCTTCAGGTCACGGTGCCACAGTGTCTCCCACCCACTGTAAAATTTGGTGGAGCATCAGTCTCAGAAAGACTGTAAACAGGCAGATTGTATTTGTGAAGGACTCATGGACCAAGCTACATACAAGGTAATCTTGGAAGACAATGTTCCTTAA